GCTGCTCCCTTGGCCTGCAGATCTCCACGAACAGAGCAGCGCGCACCATCACTCTCACACAGTCACACTCGGTGGACCAGGTCCTTCAGAGGTTCGGTCTTCAGTTCTCCTCCGCACAGCCCACACCTCTGCTAGTAGACAACAGGCTCTTAGCTCCATTTGCTAAGGAGTCAGTAGAGCCCAGTGACCCTTACGCAGAGCTGGTGGGTTGCCTCATGTACTTGATGACTTGCACTCGTCCAGATCTCGCATACCCTCTTAGCATCCTGGCTCGCTTTGTGGCCGCATGCAGACACCAACCACAGCACTGGTCAGCCGCTAAGAGGGTTTTGCGTTATCTAGCAAGGACATCGGGCATGGGGCTAGTGCTGGGAGGACACAGGCCAGTGGTCCTTACTGGGCACACAGACGCTTCTTGGGGAGACGACGCTGAGACCCTCAGGTCCTATCAGAGCTACTGATTTAGCCTTGGTTCGGATGCCACCTCGTGAAGGTCCACTCGCTCGTCATCTGGTACTCAGTCTAGATGTGAGGCTGCGATCTACGCCAGTGCCATGGCGGCACAGGAGCTCCGCTGGCTGACCTTCTTGCTCATCGACTTTGGTGAGCGGCCTAGCTCTGTCGCGGTTCTTTACGGTGACAATAGGGCCATGATCCTCCAGTATCAAGAGCCTCGAATTGAGGGCAGAGAGAAGCACGTCCAGTTGCGTTACTTCCTCATGCGCGAGCTACTGCAGCGTCGCCAAACCCGCATAGTACATTTGACCTCCGGTACCAACACAGCTGATATCTTTACTAAGGCGCTTGCGCCTAAAGATCATCAGCGGCACTATTTGCAGTTTGGTCTAGTTCTTGTAGGTACTCACTTGCTAGGACCTTGATTGTGTACTCCTCATTATATCTACATTTCTGACTGGCCTTGTGGCTTCGCTTCCTGTGGACGGACGAGTAATGCCGCCCTGGTTTGCTCTTTTCTTGTTTGTACTCTTACTGGCTTGTCTTCGGACCCCTGCCTCAGAGGTTGGACTAGTAGTGCCACCCTGAGGTGCGTGTTTCTTGCTTAGCACTGCCCCTTATCTAGCCTAGGGGGTGTGTCAACTTATACATGTATACGTAGAAGTTCTAGGCTGGATATGATTGTGTTCTTAGAGGGTACAACTCCCACTCCATATCTTCCTTGCAATCTCTTGTTTCTATTCATTCTCGTATTCTGACAGCATGTTGGTAGTAGGTACATGTGTTTCAGTGTCGGTATGCGCTGTGCTCTGGAAACTCAGTTTTGGTTTTGCAACAAGTTATGATTTTCTTTTTAAGATCCCTAAAATCGTAGTCGGAAGTGATCAGGTTTGGGAAGATGGGTAATCTGAAAATCCAGGTTTGGCCAACAATAGGGTATGAAATTTCAGACTAATCAAACTAAATAGTCTGATAACGTCAGCCCTGTACTCAACACATGCAAATGATGTGCGGTAGGAGGAACTCATTTCTCGAATATGGTCTGCACTCTATAGGCACAACATCAAGTGCTGGCATTAGAATCAGCAACACAGTGAGGAGTACCACAAAGTATACCTAGTTGCTCCCCTAAGATTCTCTCTTCCATAGTAGTACATACCTTGAAAATTACCATGCTCCAGCAAAAAAGGCAAGAGGCGACAAGATCGTCTTAGGGTTGCGGAGCATTCGACGAGGAGACTTTATTATTCATAAATGTTTGATTTTCATACCAAATGATCACTCCATTTGTTGGATAGAAGACGGCATTTTCCATATCACAAACAAATTATCGATTATTATTTCCATATCACAAGAACAAATGATCGTGCTTTACATACTTATTTGAAAATTGAGGCAATACGTATGTAAATACGAATTTATGTGAGACAACTTCTTGGAGACCGGAACGTGTATTCACTTGTGAAGATTCGAACCCGATTACTTCCGGGTCAAATTGGTCTCTAAATCGACTGAGCTATTTTACACAAAGTTACTGTTAATAACTTACATGTTAAATTTGCGACGAGGGTCCAACATTTTCAGCGATCGCTTCTGCTTTTCCTCTCGCCTAACAATCTTCTCAGCAGACCTACCTCTCATAGCACAGGTATGTCGTTCAGCAGAGCTACCTCTCATAGTTGCCTCTAATTTCCTCACATTTCCTATCTTCTTTCCGCGAACTCTATGGTTCTAGGTCGGGATATTGGGCTGCAGCCCATTTCGACCTTGTCTAGGTCGTATTAGTGGGCTGCAGCCCATTTCAGCCTAGTTCTAGGTCGATCTACAGGGCTGCAACCCATATCGACTTCGTTCTAGGTCGATTTTAGGGATTGCAACCTTTTTCGACCTATATCTAGGTTAATTTATGGAGCTGCAGCCCACGTCGACCTAGATCTAGGTCGATTTATTGAGCTGCAACCCATTTCGACTTCCATTTTGCCGTTTTTCTGTAACCCCTTCTTCTTACTTTCTTGTATCATTCTCTAATTTGTGTTCACCGTCTGTTTCTTGCTCTATTTCTTGCCTTGTTTCCTGATCCCCTCTAACTCCCTTGGCATTCTTGTATACTTGACCCAGGATTCCAAGCATTCGTGAAAGCTGAAAAGTGGCTTCGTTATGGGCGTCGATTAAACAAAGTTTCTATTCCAAGCTGACTGAATTGCATCGTTGCTTGTCAAATTTTTGTATTGCTTGCTGATGATTTCTCTTCATGTCTGTCGCTGGCCCAATAACATCCATTTACCACATGGATAAGCATTTTGTGTGAGTAAGAAAGTGGGTTAATCTTATCATTTCAAGCAAGGTTCTTTGACTCTCTCTTTGAGTGCAGTCACTTGAACTGAAGATTATAAGTGCAATATATTTTTCTTGCTATCACAAAATGTATTATCTCACGGAGTGTTGACATAATATGCTTTCGACTTCCCCCACTTAGCTGGCGAAGTGATAGCATATTTTTCTCCATGACAAAAATACGCCAAAAGAAATCATGGAGAACAATGACAAACGTTTTAGATTCAAATCAATCAAGGTAACTAAAATTTATTGGGAAATTCATTGGTAACTAAAGATTTGGTAGTTTTTCCAAATCACAAACTTGAAAAAAGAAAAAAAAAATCCTTATGATCGATCGCAATAGGTTGCTCCGCAACCCAAAAAAGCGCAAGTAGTTTATGCGTCGTGAATTCTCTTATCAGATTACTTGTCACGCGGAGAGGCTGAATGTAAGGAATTAGGAATTCCTTACTGAGGCTTGCTACAGGGCGTACGACTCGAACAGTCCCGAACCATCGCCAGGGTTCCAGACCTATCCGTTCGAGCCTCCTGGGCCTTTCCGGACCTCGCTACGACACATCGAGGCCCTTCGATACTTTTCCCGAACCTTCCGGATCCTACGTCTAGGATCACCCTAGGCTTTCTATATATTGTATTGTCTTTCATTTTTTTGTCATTCACTCGTTCACAGTTTCGCCATTGCCCTCCGCGCTACTCGGCAGTCCCATTCATAACACTGAACGCGTCAGGCACCTTGCCAAACATCGTTTTCGCCAAACCACGCATGGTTGGGTTGGAAGAAGGAGAAGCAAGCAACACCAAGCCAAGCCCCGACGTTTGGGCACGTGTAACGTGGAGGTATCTCAGAACGTGGCATCCAGGCCCCTTGCTAACAGGGTAGTTAGCCTGAATGTCGAGAATATAAAGGTAACTTCTCAAGTGATTCCATTTTTTACAGTACATTTGTTTCCGATTCCGTCCAACTTACGGAAACAATTTCGCGCGATTCCTTAGCCTAACGAGTAAATTTTCTTCGAATCCGTACGGGATATACTTGTAGCAGGGAAATCTGTAGGGGGTAGCGACTGCCCACCAACCCCGCCTTTGATCGCTTCCTACACCTGGAGCACACCCAAGGCCCAGCGCAATACGTGGCCTAATCAGAAACCACCGCCCATTAGCGTTGACACACGGGCAACGGCCCACTCAACGTGGGCCGTGAACAGAGCCAACAGTGCAGCGTTATCATGACAGCGGTGACAAACATGCGGCACAAGACGAAAGACGGGCGCAGCAACCGTTTTCGCCACAAACTTCCAGCCGCGCTCGGAATAGCGCTCCGGCGAAGCTCAGCGAGCCTTTCGTTAAGCTCGCAAAGGTGCGTACGCCTCGCTGGGTTTGTTTGTGGCTTGAGCATCGCCGCATAAAACCGAACGTTGACTTGGCAGCGAAATGGAGTCGTGATGCCCTGATGCCAAGGGTCGTTCTCAATATCCGACAGTCAACCCAGGAACAGACTCGAAAACAAATTCCCACAATCAACGCAACAGTTATTGTTACGACACGAACTTTCAATTCGTAATGTAAGAAATATTTAGAACACGCCCCTAACATTTGGAACTGAAATGCGACTCCAAACCCTCGCCACATTTCACTGAGTATAAAAGGGAGCAAACCAAACCAGAGAAACTCACTCAACAACTCACCTGCCAACCACCACTCTGGTGCTACACCAGGGAAACTCACTCAAGCTTGAAAGCGTCGAAACTTAACACACGGTAACTAAGTGAACAATGGCTCGCCAAAATATGCCACTCAAACCTACCCCGCAAAACATCAAAATGGTAACCTTCATGCCCATACGAAAGGCCCACATGCTCGTGACGATGCCGTGCGAAACCCCTGCGCGTTTTTGTTTACCGGCACCCTGAAAAGTTTTGTTCTTCTGTCAGACTCAAGGTGTAGCCGGATTTGTAGCGGCCAATTCCATTCGGTAACGGGTTTTTTTTGGGGAATTCCGTCTGTTAACGGGTGATCCTGAGGCGATTGCGTCCCCTTCCGGGATTCCCTGGGGCTTAGCAAGAGGCCTGGTGGCAGCTCTTATGGAAACCCAATCATAGAACCTCGAGCTGATTAGCCCCGCCTGTTATGAATGAACAAGCAGAGTAGCGCGGAAATGAATAACGAAGTGTTCACTCAATGAAATGACGATACAAGGAATGGCAAGCCAAGATATAGGAACACCAGAGCTAGTCTAACCATGCGATGGGAAGGTTCGGGAAGGAGATCGAAGGGTCTCGAAGTGACGAAGCGAGGCCTGGAGAACTCCCGAAGGTCGAACCGGAAGGTCTGGAAAAACCGAGGCGGTTCTGGCAGAAGGTCTGGAATAGTCCCGAGGCTTCAGGTGTGTTCGAGCGTACGCGCTAGCAGTACCGCTCGGTAAGGAATGGAAAATTCCTTACACCACCCCCCGCCCTTAGCGAAGGTGATCTATATCAGCCACGTGCTTGCGGTCCAAATAATTCGCAAGTATCGGAGGTGACTGTATCTGGTCCGAGGGCACCCACGTGTCGTCCTCACTGGTACGATTGGTCCACCGTATCAGAAAGTCAACGTGTCGTCCTTGACCGTCGATACGAATCCGATGGCTCAAGATTTTCAAAGGCTCGATGGTCGTCTCGGCTGGTGGCCGTACGTCTGGAACCAATCGCTGTCAAGCGATGTCTGACCTGTCAGGAACGAAGGGTCGCAACAGACTCACGTGGAATTTGTTGTGAATTCGCCAGTCATCAGGTAGGCGCAACTGGGCGGTCACCGGCGTCACCATCTTCACGATCTTAAACGGGCCACAGAAACGTGGTCGTAATTTTGTCGGTAGTGGCAGTCGTAAATTCTTGGTGTCCAAAAGGACTAGTTGCCCCGCTGTCATCGTAATATCCCGGCGATGTAAATCCGTATACCGTCGGGCAGTTGCGTTCGCCTTGCGAATAAGTTCGACAGCTTTGTCGCGGGCAGTCTGTAGTTCTTCGACGAACTGCTGTGATCGTGGTACTTGGCTCTCAACGTTGGTGGAGATTGGCACTGTAGGGTCCATCCCGTAATTGAGGTAAAACGGGGAGTGATTAGTCGTAGATGAGGGCGCATTGTTGTAGGAAAATTCCAATATGGGCAGCACGTCCTCCCATTTCTTCCGGTCGGGGAAGTTTGTCCGAATCAGCTGCTCCATCGTTTGATTTGTCCTTTCCGTCTGGCCGTCCGTTCGTGGATGATACGCAGATGAGAACTGTAGGCGCGTGCCGTACCGAGCCCACGTGTCCTGCCAGAATTTGGACGTGAACTTCGGATCTCGATCGCTAATGATTGCTGCTGGTATCCCGTGTAGGCGAACGACGGCCGAGATGAACAGGCGCGTTGTTTCTTCGGCTGTGATGGTTGTACGACATGGTGCAAAATGTGCCATTTTCGTCAATCGGTCGACGACAACCAAAACCGCGTCGTTTCCGCTGGGTCCAGCCGGTAGTCTCGTAACGAAATCCATCGTTACGTGTTGCCATGGGCGTTGAGGTGGCTCGAGGGGCTGCAGCAGTCCTGTGGGCCGCTGGTGTGACGACTTCATTCGTTGGCAGATCGGACACGCGGCCACGTAACGCTGCACGTCCGTCACCATATCTGGCCAGTAATATAACCACTGCAACGCCTTCAGAGTTTTATCAACCCCGAAATGTCCCGATAAATTCGAATCGTGGACTTCTTGAATTAGTAATTCGCGAAGTAGACGATAACTTGGGACCCAAATTCGATCAGTCCCGCTTCGTAAGTAATAGACGCCTTTCCGCGTAGTGATTGGGAGATGGCCGTCGTTTACGAAGAAGGGGTCAGTCGAATACCCGTGGGTAAATAGTCCACTCAGTAGCGGGTTGCTCTGAGCGACTAGTACTGCTGCGAGTTGGGCAGATGGTCTGGAAAGGGCGTCGGCAATATTGTTGGCGCCCTTTTTGTACGTGATCTTGTACGTAAAATTTGACTCCAGATAGTCCAGCCAGCGTATCTGCCGCGGGTTGAGGTTCGGCTGCGCCCTCAGATACTGTAGTGATTCGTGATCGGTTCGCACCGTCACGTCTGCTCCAGTCAGGTAGCACCTCCAGATTTTGAACGCGTGGACGATCGCCAGCATCTCCTTGTCGTGTACTGGGTAGTTGCGCTCAGCAGATTGCATTTTCCGAGACTCGTACACGATTGGTTGAAGCCCGTTGCCGAAATCCTGCATGAGCACTGCTTCGATGGCGATGTCGCTTGCGTCGGTGATGACTTCGAAGGGCCGTTCCGGGTCAGCGATGCGAAGTACTGGTGGCGACATTAAAAGATTTTTTAATGCCTCGAACGCAGCTTGCTGCTTCTCCCCCCACTCGTAAAAAGTCCCCTTCTGCAGTAGGTCGGTTAGAGGTCCAGTTAACCCCGCCATGTTGGGTATAAACCTCCGTACGTAATTCACGAAACCCAGAAATGATTGCAGCTGCTGCAAATTTGTTGGCGCTTTCCACTCCTGAATAGCCCAGAGTTTTTTCGGGTCTATTCGAATCCCCTCCGTGGAGATCACATGCCCCAGGAACTCCTGTTCTTGTTTTAAAAACTCGCACTTGGAGCCCTTGGTGATGAGTCGATGCTGCTGCAACCGCTGAAAAACGGCTTCCAAATCTTTTAAATGCTGCTCCCGGGTCTTGCTGTAGATCAGGATGTCGTCCAGATAAATTATTACGCATTTGTCGAGTAGATCGCGGAATACCCCATTCATGGTGAGTTGAAACGTCGAGGGGGCGTTCGTTAATCCAAACGGCATCACCGTGTATTCGTAGCTCCCATAGCGAGTACGAAACGCGGTCTTGTGGCAGTCGTCAGCGAACACTCGAATTTGATGGTAACCGCCACGAAGGTCGATCTTCGAAAAGTAACGAGCTCCGCGAAGGTTGTCGATCAGTTCGTCCGTTCGTGGGATTGGGTAGCGCGATTTAATCGTTACCCGATTAAGGGCACGATAATCCGTACACATGCGAAGTCCACCGTCTTTTTTTGGTGTGAACAGGATCGGTGCTGCGAACGGGGACGTGCTCGGCCGAATGAACCCTTTCGCCACCAGGTAGTCCAACTGGTTTCGTAACTCCTGTAGCTCTGGCTGAGTCAGGCGCCATTGCGTGCGTACAATAGGCTGCGCGCCGGGCTCCAGCTCGATTTTGTGGTCCTGGGGTCGTTCGGGTGGCAGTCCACTTGGCAAGTCGTCCGGGAAGATTTCAGGATATTCTCGAATGATTTTCGCCAAGTCATCCGGGACCGAGGGGCAGAGTTTGTTGATGTCGGTCGCCTCATTCCGCTCCGTCGATTCGGTTAGATGGACGGCGTATAAATCTGCTCCATTCTTGACCGCTCGATTGAGGCACACCGCGTTGACTCGTGTCGATGTTGTCTCTGCTTCCGGCCACGTGGGTAATTTTTGCCAACCTTTATCGCACTTCACTGTGCACTCGCCTGTTGTCCAATCGATCTGCGGGTTGAATCGTCGTAGCCAATCGCGTCCCAATAGCACGTCGTAACCGTCGAGCGTTGTCGCCAGCATCGGCGCGCTGAAACCAAAATCTTCGCCACACTTCATTCGGACGGCAGGTACTTTGTCGCATATCGCCAGTGGGGTGCCGTCCACCAATCGCGCGACGATTTCGGGTAGGCACCGCTCCAGCGTCAGGTGTAGTCGTCGTGCTGTCTCTTGATTTATCAGGCTGTAACTCGCACCTCCGTCGATGAATATTTTTATTTTTCTTCCATGAAGTCGTCCTTCCGCCAGTACAGGGTGGTCCACTGGGTCATCCTCCTTTTTCAGCCGAGAGCGGTTGATAGCATGTATCGGAACCACTACTCGGTGGGGATGCTGTTTTTCGGGCGATGAGGCAGGGTCAGTAGGGGGCCCGACTGCTACTGACACTTGGCTTTTCCCGACCTGTCCTCGTCGTTCTTCTTTATCTGCTTCTTTCGGGGGCAATCGTGAGATTGGTGACCCGGCTGGTGGCAGTTGAAACATTGTCCCTTGCGAAAATTGTCCATGTGCTCCTTCGCCACTACGCCGTGAATCGTGGGCCATGGATTCTGGCCACGAAAACGATTTCCCTCCCGGGAACCCGCTCTCGCATACGTCCGATGCGCGTCGAAGTTGTCTGCGATCCGAACGGCTTCGTGAAACGTCGCCGGCAGTCGCAGTCGGACCTCGCATTTAATGTCCTGCTTCAAACCCGAAATGAATCGAGCTTTCTTCTCGGAGTCATGCATGTCGGTGATTTGATCGCATAACGCCATGAAGACCGACGCGTAATCCTGGACAGAACTCCACTAGCGCCAGTTGTCCAGCTTCGTGCGTGCATTGTCCGAGGCGGATATGGGCTCGAACCGTTCACGCAGAGCTGTACCCCACGCCTTCCACGTGCGAATCTTGGTCGGTCCAAAAATCGCGGTTGACCCTTGGGCAGCAGACCCAAAGTTTCCGAAAAAACCATGTGTGTCGCCTGCCGAAAACTCCCCCTCCTGTAGAGTATATCGCCACCAATCTAGCGCAGGTCCCCGCAGTAGTGATACAGCCGGTCGAATTTTTAAATCGTCAGCAGTGATCCCAGCAGCATTAAAATAAAGTTCCGCCGAAAATAACCAGCCCGTAACAGTAGTATTCTTATCTGTGGGGTTGAACGGGGGCGGCATTGTCGGTTTGATTGTCGCTGTCGTCACGATCGGCATAATTGCGGTGCGGCTACAGTAGCGGCTGCTTCTGACCGAGCGGCTGCTGCTGTCGCTGCTGCTGCTTCGGCTGCTGCTCGTGCTGCCACGTCAGCTGCTGCGGCGGCTTCACTGTCCTTGCGCTCCTGTGACACCTGACGTGCGATTTCGTCCAAGACGGTTTCGACACGTCTGGTGCTGGCGACCTCCTCGTGGGCGGCAATTTTCTGACGCGAATCCTCTCGCGCCTGGCGTAACTCAGCAACTTCCACACGAAGTCGCTCGTTGTCCTCCAGCATTGTAGCCATGCGCGTGTTCATGGCGTTGAACTGCTCCCGAAGCTCGTTGAACTGAGCTTGGTCCATTTGGCGAATGCTCCGCCGGGGCAGGGGGAATTCCGTCGTGTGCCTGTACTCAGGTAAGCGCAAACGCTATCGTAGTTGGGCGAATTAATCAATCTAATTCGCGAGCAACCGCTTTGCAGCTTACGTGAGGGACCTACCCCCCCCCCCCCCCCCCCCCCCCCCCAAAAAAAATCAACTCACGAAAACGTGTGAGCGAGGAAAGTGGCTCTGATTACCAGGTGTTATGAATGAACAAGCAGAGTAGCGCGGAAATGAATAACGAAGTGTTCACTCAATGAAATGACGATACAAGGAATGACAAGCCAAGATATAGGAACACCAGAGCTAGTCTAACCATGCGATGGGAAGGTTCGGGAAGGAGATCGAAGGGTCTCGAAGTGACGAAGCGAGGCCTGGAGAACTCCCGAAGGTCGAACCGGAAGGTATGGAAAAACCGAGGCGGTTCTGGCAGAAGGTCTGGAACAGTCCCGAGGCTTCAGGTGTGTTCGAGCGTACGCGCTAGCAGTACCGCTCGGTAAGGAATGGAAAATTCCTTACACCGCCCGACTTGCTGACCTTTCTTCAGATTGGATGTTCTGGCGGAATTTCGCTGACATGTATGTACAGCATGGGTCGCGTGACTCGCGTCTCGAAGAAATGCGGCGCGATCGAAGCCTGAAACAACAAGGCTCTCTCGAGGATACTTTTGCCATTATGGTTGCCGGCGCCGCGAACGGTAGACGGAAAAGAAACTGCGTTTAGAGAAAAATAATATTGCGTAGAAAATACAGAATACACTCTTGGGGGTAGTGTAAATTCGTGTACACATTTTCCCAAAGGCATACAAAATGCAGGAGTCGGTCAGCTCCTTATGAGAAACACCGATGTGAGGACGAATAGCATACAGTTGCAACATTATCCCCCCTCCTAGTGGCATCCCTACCCCCTCCCCCCAACCTATCCTCCTCGTCAGGGCTCTCGCCAAGGCCAGGGGTATTCCGTGAGGTCACGGAATCGGCCCCAATTTACCCGTTAGCGGACGGAATTGCCGAAACACTACCCGTTAAACTACGGATTCGTCGATGTGCTACTATTGGTTTGATACTAACATCCTCAGACAAAATTGCCTTCGCCAGGGCTAAGGAAAAGCCTTCGAACCCCCAGGGACTGTTCCTCGCACATACTATGCCTCAGATGGTTGGAAGTGTAGAAACATTTCCCGCTAACTAGCCTATCTCTCTGCTAAGTGGAGGTGAGGGAAGGGCGTGACGGGGTGATACACCACCACAAACAGATCCCTACTACAAGTGTACTTAGCATCGAATCAAAGATAATTAACCCGTAATATCCAGTAATGACACCGAAATTATTCCGTTATGCAGTCGAAATCAGGGAATGTTTACTACGCCGAAAAAGGAATCAGGTCGAAAACAGCTCTTAATTTCTTGTCTTTAAGAGTAATTACCCTGTTAGCTAGTGCTCCTCGCCTCGCCTCGCCTCGCCTCGCCACGCCACCCCCATTTTCTCTCACCTCACCCACACCTACCCTCACCAACTTTCGCTTGCGTTGTTGCCTCCCTCGTTGGCTGTCGTCCCTTCCTACTTCCTCGCTGTCCACCCAGCAGTTGCTCCAACGCAGCAAACAGCATCCAGAGGACAAAGCACTCAACCAAACCATGGATGCCCGCTTCCTAATAGTAGTTGCCCTTGCATTGCACTAACACAGGCACGTTCCACGGTCCACCCGCAGTCTTCCGCTGTTGAGGCAGCATTGCTGCAGCAGACTGCATGCGTGTGGGCTGGCTTCCTTGCTGTTGCTCCGAACCGAAGCGAAGCTCTTCAGCACAGCAGTAACACGGATCGATGCACGATCCACATTTCTCGCTTCGCATCCCACATTCCACACCACACGTGCTTCCTTCTCAGCGAGAGGAATTGCTGCTGCTCGGCTCTGCTCTGGTCTGGTCTGGTCTCAGCTCTCCGCTCTCCGCTCTCCGCTCTCCGCTCTCGCCTCCCCGGCCCAGCCCGCAGCTTCGTTGTGGTGGTGGAACCACCGCGCTCTCACTCACCCCATCCCTCCCTCCCTCGTTTTACCGCACGTGAAACGCCAGCCAGCCGCGCGCCCGCTTTTGAAACGATTGGTGCACGCAAAACAACTTCTTCGCAGCCGCAGCAGCAGCCGCAGCAGCAGCCAGAGCAGCAGCTGCCAGTCGCTTCTTCGGACTTCGAAGAAAGTCCACCACGTCGCGTCGCGGTCGCTACTACCCGTCTGATCGCTCTACGCCTCAAACCCCCCCCCCCCCCCCCCCCCCCAAGCCACAACGAGGTGGTTGTTGACCCCACCCCCTCCCCTCTCCCCCCAAAAGCCACCAGTCAGCGGCAGCACGGAGGAAGGCGGGCTCGCGATCATCGCCGCAATCGCCTTGTAAGCTCCAGCCGAGTCGCATCTGGGCCTTGCGAGCCGAATCACGAGCTGCGGAATCTGCGGAATCATCTGGTCCGGCAGGAACCTCCCTGACGACCGCTGTCGCCTCCGCGTCGCGTCGTCTCTTGTAAGGCTCGATACTCTCGATGATAGTATCCCCCCGGCCCGTGGCTCAGCATCCCAGCATCGCAGCAACTCAGGCCGATGATGATAGTGTCGATAATATAGTCTCGATAGACGATGTACCAGAACAGCTAGAAACAGAAACAGACCCCGTAATTCGCAGCTCGACGCCGCATTCATGTGTCGTAATAACGGGTCATGCTACGGCCACTGCTAATACTATTGTTGCAAAGTCTAAGTTGGGACGCCATAACAGGCTGTTAGTACGATCACCGCGGCGGTTGCTAGTGCTGCTTTCGCAACCATGTGTCAAGGTCACTACAGCCTCAGCCCGCCATGCGTATCACTTGCCGTCGGCTCAGTACTACCCGCATCATCAGCTGTTGAAGCAGCAGCAGCAGCAGCAGCGGCGGCGGCGGCGGCGGAAGTGGCGGCAGCAGCGGCGACGGCGGCGACGGCGGCAGCATACGGCCCAGAAGCGAGGCCCTCTGTGAAGCGGACCTGGGCGGCCGTGGCGGACGCATGCGGCGCCGCTCTTTCTGCGCCGCTGCCCCGCCGTCCGGCGCTATCTGGCGGCGCGGAGCCGGTGCGCGGCCGCTGGCAGCAGGCCGGCGCGACAGTCAGTGACCTCGAGATGATCTCGCCACAGCTCAGCTTGAAATCACCGCCGATGCTAACGGCGCCGTCCGAGGCCTCCGCTGCCCCTCCCTTGTCTCGGCGAGTGCCACTGGTCGCTCTAATTCCGCCGCGTCGCGATGCGCCTGGGCCACCGGGATTGGCAACGGCGGCGACGGCGGCGGTGCCGGCGCCAATGGCGGCGGGAAAGTGCCGGTTGGTGCGCCTGCTGGGTGGCTGTCACGTGATCATTAACGGGCAGCAGCAGCAGCAGGAAGTCCCGCACGTTGCGGAGGGGGGAGCACTGGCGGAGTGCGCTCTCGCTCCGATCCAGAGTCCGCCACTGGCGGCGGAGCTGCGCTCGAGTCCCGCCAGCAGCAGCGAGGCGTCCGCGACTCCTAGCGGTTCGTCTGAGTCGCGCGCGGTGAGCCCTGAAGGGGGAGTTGCGCCAACCGCTGCTGCGCCATCCGCTGCTGCGCCATCATGCGCGCCTACGAGTGCGCCGCGTTTCTCATCCGCCTCCGCGCGGAAAGCAGCGGGCGGGAGCAACAGCGCGCGGGATGCGGCAGCCGCTGCGGCGTCAGACCCGTCGCCGTGGCAGTCCGCCGCCGAGTCTGGGTCTGCGGACGTCTCGGCGGGTGGGATGGGAGAATGGCGGAACAGCGGAGCGCCGCGCGCGGCGCAAGGAAGTGTTGCCGCCGCTGCCGCCGCCGCCGCAGTGAGCGGAGTGAGCGGAGCTGGTGCAGTGAGCGCTGAAGAGCGGGAGGAGGGGAGTCGTACTCGGATGGACTGCCGATCGGAGTGGCCGGACCGCGTCCTGGAAGAGTGGTCGTGCATGCGCATCATGCCAACCGATGTCGTGGCGCATGACGCTGAGGATGATGGCGCGGAGCGTGACGTGGAAGGTGACGTGCAGAATGAGATCATGTTATGGCTGTCGAGCGGTGCTGGCGCTGGCGCTGGTGCTGGTGCTGGTGCTGGTGCTGGTGCGGGCAGCGCATCGCAGGGCGAAGGGCGCGCGGCGAAAGTGGAGGGTGGGAGTGCGGCAATAACTGGCGTCTGCTGGAAGATGAAGCCAACCGCGCGGGAGGAGGGCAGCAGACTGGCCTATGCGTGGGATGCTGCTGCGAAAGCCGCTGCTAAAGACGGTTTAGAAGAGGGTTCAAAGCACGGCCTGGACGGTGGTTGCTTGGATGGTGGTTGCTTGGACGGTGGTTGCTTGGACGGTGGTTGCTTGGATGGTGGTTGCTTGGACGGTGGTTACTTGGACGGTGGTTGCTTGGACGGTGGTTGCTTGGACGGTGGTTGCTTGGACGGTGGTTGCTTGGACGGTGGTTGCTTGGACGGTGGTTGCTTGGACGGTGGTTGCTTGGACGGTGGTTGCTTGGACGGTGGTTGCTTGGATGGTGGTTGCTTGGATGGCTCGGGGATGGCGGGAGGCGAGCTGTGGCAGGCGCTGTGCAGGCTGGGATGCATGAGGGGACTGCAGCCCGGACTCAGCGCACCACACAAGCCCATGCCACAGCGGCAGGCACGAGTTCAGCAGCAGCAGCAGCAGCAGCAGCAGCAGCGACAACCTCTGCGATGTTCTGTGGCAGTTCACCCGCCTCACGCACCTCCCCCTCTCTTGCTCCCAGCCTTCTGCCCACCACCACACCAACCTCACGCCAACAATGCATTTGAGAAAGGGGCTCATCGCTGCGCCGTGACCATGGTTGGTGCTGCTCCCCGCGATTCCACGCTACCTGCTCGTCTTGCTGCTGCGGCTGCACGTGTTTCAGCCCCTCCTGCTCCTGATCCTGCTCCTGCAACTGCTCCCCCCCCTTCTCCTTCACCTGCTGCTGTTCCCGTCCCTGCTGCCATGCCTGCTAAGCGCCGGAAATGGGGAGGCACAAGCACATCAGGAGCTGCAGGCTCGCTCAGTGAAACGCGCCACCATCCACTCTCAGCTGCACATGTTGCCCTCCCGGGCCTCCCAGGCCGTCCAGGCCTCCCGGGCCTTCCAGTCCCCCAGGGTTCCCGGGCCTCCCAAGTTTTCCCGGGCCTCCCCATCTGTGACTCCCCTCCGTCTGCCAGTGTGCCAGCTTGCCCTCGCCCCATCAGCTCTCCCCTTACCAACCCTCCATTGATGAGCCCTCTATGGATGGGCTCTCCCCACCTCAAGGCAGTGCCACTCCTCTCCCCCGCACTGCCCAGTCTTGAGGTATGCCTCTCCGCCTCTCCGCCTCTCTTCCTGTCTGCCTCCTGCTTCCTGCTTCTTTTCCTCTGTGTGTTTCCCAGCCGGCTGCTGAGTGAGGGTGGCTCTGTGTTGCTGTGTGTAGGTGGAATTGGAAAGGCTGCTGGAGCAGTGTCAGCAGCAGAATCTGAAGCAGCAGCAGCAGCAGCTCCGCATCGACTCCCTTCCCATCCCCTCCTCCTTTCCTTCAATCAGCTTTCTCAGGCCGGTGCCAAGCTCACAGGTGCAAGCAGGAAGGGCAGTGCTGGCGCCAGTACCTCCATCAGGGAGTAATGTGCCAAGTGCCAGAGGAGCAAGAGCACATGTGCCATGCGATGGCCCCAACCACCACCCTCCTGCCACTGCATTCCCATCGGCCACGCTGCCTGCAGCATCTATCTCTGCTGCTGTTGCTGCTGCTGTTGCTGGCGGTGCTGGTGCTGCTGCTGCAGGGGGGCCGCTGCCTTCCAGTCTGCCCGCTTATGCTGCTGTCCGTAGAGCAGACGCGGCAGCTGCTGTTCCTTGGGCTGCGGTGTCTCCCATGGAAGGCGCGGACTCGGAAGAGTTCTGGTCCTCCCGTGAACTCGACCTGCGATGCGCAGAACTGTGAGTCAGGAGGGAGGGTTTGGTTGAGGCGCTGCCGAGGAAAGGCTGTAGCTTAAACAGGGCGAGGTGATTAGATGTGAGAGTGTACACATGGGCTTATCTCCTCCCTCTGCTGAGTTTGTTCCACCTCTGCTTCCTTTTTCCCACTCCTTGTGTGTGGCTCCTTCCAGGATTCTATGATTCATCAGGCAACACCACTCGCAGCATCGTCGATCGCCTCACCATTAACAAGTTTTTGGCCAGAGTACTTCGTACTCTTTGCCTTGTAGTAGCTATCTCTGCCTCGCCCTTTTTTGCCCAAGGCCACTTGACTGGGCTTCCCTTCCCTTCCATTGGCCATGAATCACGATCCACATAGCTTGATTAATTTATTCCCTTAGACAAACCAACCCCTCTCCCCTTCCCTATCCCTCTTCAGTCCCATTTCCCCCCTTGCACATACTTGGGAATCCCAGGTTGGGATGTGTCCCCTTTTGGAGGATAATGGTTCTTCAGACATTGCATGGTTTTGCTTCAGGTTCCGGCAATTTATTTTGCTGGACTATCTTGAAGTTTTTTGTTCAGCATCTTCTCCTGATATGCCACACCACCTCACTGTTGCATTATAGGTTTGGTAGCCCTTTTTTCTTTAGTGGATGTTCTTTTTGTCCTACTCGTATAGGCGTTTCTGAAATTCCGAACTGTATGATGGTGTGGAGATAAATTTCGCCGAAGCAAGCTCCAAGTGGTTTGACGAAAGGATGACGTCATCCTTTCGTCAATTGCAGCCTCCAAGAAATCCACCAGTGTCGCCCACATCGTCATCATTCCGCTCTCCCTGGTCCTCAGTCGCAGTCACAGCCACACCACCAGCATCCGCTTTGCCAGCGAAGATGCAACTTCAGTCGCAGCAGCATCTTGGCAATGTCGATCGACGGTGAAGATGCCTCCTCCTCAAGGGCAGTGTTCCCGATGTACTGTACAAATCTTCAACAAGTTCTCCCAGATCCCTGGGGTGGATTCGACTTGTGCACACAATTCACAAGTCTGTCCTACCCGAGGCGGAATTTCGCGCTTCGACGGAAATCGAGTTGGGCTGAAAACGGTCGACCTTTTTGCCGCACGATGTATGCTTTTGCTAACCGAGCCAAAACGGTCAACCCCCAATTTGTTTATATTTTTATATCGATTCAAAGTACGGGTAAATTCCGCAGCGTGTCAGACCCGAGGTCGACCCGCGGCCGAAGGAGCCACGGGTTGTCACAACCTAACTGGGGGTTTAATTTTCTTGATGGTGCAGCTGCTGCATAGCCGCGAACTGTCGCAAAGGGGGGGGGGGGGGGGTTGCGACTATACTAACCGAACTTTGCGAGTTCACCAGAAATTTTTGAGGTTATGATTGGTTAAATTTCATTTGCGCAAAAAAATGACGGCTCCAGCCAGTTAGCTGTCAGCTAGTTGTTCAGCTTGACAACTGACTAGCTGGAGCCGTCATTTTTTTGCAAGACCCGATGAAATTTTGTTCTAGCATCGGATCTTCCCGCTAAACTCTCGGGTCTAACACTCGCTGCGGAATTTACCCTAAATACCTACAATAATTTGTAAATATTCTGGATACGTACAGTATGTAAGCATGCTATTATGAACAGTTATCGAACATGCCATTGCAGTACAGTTTCGATAAGGAATACCCACCAAATAACCAGTTACAAAAAAGAGTCAACAGTTGCAAATTCGGTCATCAAGGAATCTAAAGGCCTTTACTCCTAAAATATGGTAACCCTTTTAATTATTAGCTATTACTACAGAGTGACTTACTACAGATATAGCCCCTACGGATCCAACAAAGTACTAGTTAAGATAACGAATCATTTTCAAAAGTTGGACGGATTAGAAAAAAATGCTTTGTGAAAAATGGAATCCTTGTATACAATAATCTTAATGTATATGCATTAAGGGTGACTAGTTTGTTAGCGGCAGGCCCGCACATTTTATGTCATTGTGCATGCCTCATTTCGGAAAAATTACTACAGCGGACTATCTTCGAAATTTTTCATACTTTCGTGGAGAGGCCCTATTTTTATGGACAGCCCATCAAAGTTTCTCTTCTCCTATGGACTCCCTCCCTACTTTCGTAGACTCTGCGCATACTTATTTGGACACACACAAAAATGCATTAAAATTCGAGTTCTTCGACGACAATCAAGAATGGCTCAAACGGTCGACCCTTTTTGCCCGCGATGTATGGCATGCGCCCGTTACCCAAAACGGTCGACCCTCCGACCCCCCAGACTGTACCCGTTTTTTGTGTTGGGTTTAGATGCCACTACGTTTTTCGGGGCAACTAGTTTGGGCAGCATGTGTAGGGTCTAATTAGGAGTAATACGAGAAACAATGACGGCACACTTAGAGCTGCGGCATTCGAAAAAGGCACGTGCAATCATTTTGGACACAACGTCCAGATTTCGACAAAATAACGGGTAAGGTTTTCGCTGAACTCGGATTCCGATGGGGAACTTTTCCAAAAACAGGGTTTGAACTCGGATTCTGACGGGTGAATTTTGGCAAAATTGGCTGTGAAACCCGGATTTGACGGGTGAATTTTGACATAACAGATTGCTGAACATGGATTCTGACAGGTAGCTTTGGCCAGATACCCGGATATGACGGGTGCCCCAAAAACCAAACGCAAGCCCCGACACTTGCGAGAGTCAGATGACCCCAACACGTGCGTTCATGCCAGGTGCAGGGGACATGCAGACAGAGGCAGTTTTTTGTCGTGACCCATTAAATGCATGTTCGCGCAACAATTGAATTGGGATCCAGCAAATGTTTTCACAGCGACCCAAAATTTCATTTCGAATATTCGGCACATCAAAACAAAAACGGTTACTGTCGGGGGGGGGGGTCGACCGTTTTGGGTAAAGGGGGCATGCCAAACATCGCGCGCAAAATGGGTCGACCGCTGGGAACCATTCTTGATTTTAATTGAAGCGCGTGATTTCCTCCAATGTCTTGCCCAACCAGTGTCCAACCATGACCTTGACCGTAGTGCACCGTAGAGCACCGTAGTGAACTCACGGCCACTCAGCACTGTAAAACACCTTAGTTCTTTCACTACGACTACTACCACTCTGCCAGCCATGCAACCTGGGGGCTTTTCCGCGGAGACAGCTGGCGCAGGCGACTACGGGAGCGAAACAGGAAGCATGAAGTCGGCACTACTAACGGCGACTCGCGACTCGCATCGTTCCGCCGCCATGGAACAGGCAGCTCAGGAAAATGCGGCTGAAGATACGAGCTTCTGGGATGGAGGCAGCGCTGCTCGCAGCGTTAATGGCGCGAGCAACGGTAGCGTCGCTAGCATCAACAGCACCGCCATCAGCAACGGCAGGGACATTGTCCCTGGTAACAGCGCCGGCAGTAGCGGCAGCAGCGGCAGCGACAGCGGCAGCGGCGGCAACGGCGGCGGCGGCCACGGCCGCCGTGGTGACAGTAGCGCAAAGGCACCTTCCGCGAGCCTTCGATGGAGGCGACTAGGCAATGTGGTGTCGTTCTCCACGCGGGTATGATGCGATGGTACCACGGTGGTGCTGCTGCTGCTGCTGCTGCTGGCGCTGGCGCTGGTGCTGGTGCTGGTGCTGGTGGGGTGCTGCTGGTGCTGGTGGGGTGCTGCTGGTGCTGGTGCTGGTGGTGCTGCTGGCGATGGTGGTGCTGGTGCTTGTTCTGTGCTGTTGCTGTGGTGATGTTGTTTATGCAATGGGGTATAATCAGTCGACTCAAAATACACTTGTTGATGCAATGGGGGCGCATCGTTATACCAACAGGTTCCAATACATCCCCTTACTCCCTCCCCGCCGTAAACACTCCATCCCCCCAATCCTCTCCTTGTCACGTTCTCTCACTGCACGCGGTTCAATCCCCCCATATATACACAATGCACACTCCCTCCCCCCCCCCCCCCCTCTCTCTCTCTCTTATTTTTTCGTTTGTTCTGGCTGGCAGCTGGCCATGGCGTCGCGCAGTGCAGCGTCGCTGGACGAGATGGGCCTCGTGGACGACACCCTCACAGGCCTCGCTAACACCGTCGCTGCTGCCGAAGCCGCTGCTGCCGCTGCTGCTGGTGTTGCTGCTGCTGGTGCTGGTGGTGCTGGTTCTGGTGGTGGTGGTGGTGATGCTGCTGGTGCCGATGCTGCTGGTGTCGATGCTGGTGGTGTCGATGCTGCTGGTGGTGATGCTGCTGGTGGCGATGGTGCTGCCACCTCATCAGCGCAGGAGGCGTTTTATAACGAGGGCGGCATGGGGAGGGGGCATGGCGTTAAGGAGGAGGGCGTGTGGGGGAAAGGGCTGGAAGCTGTGGCGGAAGGGGGAGACGCGGGGGAGGGTGGGGGGACGGGTGGGAGAAAGGATGAGGGAGAGTATGGGGGGAAGTGGGGGGAGAGGAATAAGGGGAAGAATGGGAGGATGTTGAGTGAAAAGGATGGTTCAGTGATGGAAGGATTGAGAGCCAATGGGAGTGTGGCACGTGGACAGGAGCACAAGGAGGGAAGGCAGGGAGGGAGGAGAGGATGGGGAATGGTGAGAGGGAGAGTGAAACAGAATCTAGGGCTGACGTGGCAGGCCAGTATTGGCGGTGGCAGTGGCGGTGGCGCTGCTGCTGCTGCTTGTGGCAAGAAGGAAAGGATTGGAGGGCATGAGGGGAGTGTGACAGACACACGGAGGGAGGAGAAAGGTGGGGTAGAGAAGAGTGAAAAGGGGGAGGCAGTGGGGGAGGAGGAGGGGGAGGGCGAGGGGGAGGGGGAAGGAGAGGAGGAAGAGGAGGAGGAGGAGGGGGAGGCAGGCGAGTTTGACGATGGGGAGCCTCCTCCTGCTGGCATGACACCAACAGCACTGTTCAAGCCGCGAGGCCGCAAGGGCGTGGAGAGCGTTCGAGTGACGCATGACGCGCGCCTCTACTGCATCTTCACTGACGTCTATGTCACCTGCCTCAAGGTGCCGTCCATGTCCTCGCCTTCTTTCCTTCCCTTCCCTTCCCTTCCCTTCCCTTCCCTTCCCTTCCCTTCCCTTCCCTTCCCTTCCCCTTCCCCTTCCTTTCGTCTCCCATCATGCCCTCGTCACGTGTCTGTTCAGCATCCTGCAAACCCTCTCTCTGCTCGCCTCTCTCCCTCTCTCGTCTGCACCACGTCTATCTCATCCCACCCCCCTCTCCTCCCTCTGCACCCGCCCTGCTCCCCACGCCCCCCCATCGAACCCCTTTTTGCACTGCTCGCATGGCCCCCAGATGCCTCCTCTGGCGTTCTTCGTGGCAGTGTTTGCAGCGCCCATCGCCCTCAGCCTCCTCTTCACCCCCCTCTTCCTGCTCGGTGTCGGCGGCCTGCAGTTCGAAGACGGCGTCCTGCCGCCCGTGCACCCCCTCACTCACTCCCACACTCACCCCCACACTCACTCTCAGACTCACTCCCACACGCACTCCCAGACTCACCTCCCCACTAACTCGCACACGCACTCGGACCCATGGCAGGAGCAGCCGTTTCATCTGGACAGCGAACCACACACGCAGCAGCAGCAGCAGCAGCAGCAGCAGCAGCAGCAGCAGCAGCAGCAGCAGCAGCAGCAGCAGCAGTGCGAGCAGCAGCCGTCCCTGTCTTCCACCTGCGCGCCCTCCACGTCCTCTCCACACACACCTCTCCTCTCTCGCGATCCTCCGCTCTCCTCGCCCCGTCCTCTCCTCTCGCACCTCCTGCCTGCGCTGCTCTCCCTGGCCACCAGCACGTGCATCCTCTGCATCTCTGGCGTGCAGCGCGCGCTCTTCATCGTCCTCAACGTCTTCCTCTACTCGTACGCCTCCGTGCTTTGATTGACCCACCTCAAAACTGCATCTTTCTTGCCGTCCTTCCTTCCTTGCCTCCATCCTCCTGGTGTCCGTCCTTCCTGCGCTTTCCCCGCCTTTCTTTTCCACTCCTCGTCCTCCTTAACGACTTCCTCTACTTGTATGCACACAGCCTCGCCTGCCTTCCCTTCCCTTCCCTTCCCTTCCCTTCCCTTCCCCTCCCTTGCCCTCCCTTCCCTTCCCTTCCCCTCCCTTGCCCTCCCTTCCCTTCCCTTCCCCTCCCTTGCCCTCCCTTCCCTTCCCTTCCCCTCCCTTCCCCTCCCTTCCCTTGCCTTCCGTTGCCTTGCCTCCTCGCGTTTGCTCCCTCCTTTGCCTTCCTCTTCTTTCCTTTCGGCTCCTCATCATCCTCAACGTCTTCCTCTTTACCCTGCCCTGGCTCGTACCGTTCTCCCTCCTTTGCCCTTCCCCTCGTGACTGTCTCTCTCCTTTCTTCCCTCTCTAGACTCGTTCGAAACACGTTCATATCCTTGTCGTATCATCCCCCTCCCCTCTCCCACAATCTCCTTCCCCCCACATGCTCTCCTCCTTCCCCACCCACCCTTCCCACCTTCCATTCTCCACCACTCCTACCTCCCTCCCTCCCCTCCCTTGTCTCTTTCAGCGTCCCCCTGTCGACCACTTTTGAGGCACCTAGAAAACCTTCCCTCCTTTTACCACATTGCACCTTGCACCTTGCACCTTGCACCTTGCACTAGACATGGGCAAAAAAAATCGCATCGCATCGCATTAAATCGCGTTTTTGCGATTGCGACGTTTTTTTGTTTTTGTTTGTATCATCTAGCGATGCGATGAATTAAATCGCATTTTAATCGCGCTAAAAAACGCGATTTAAATGCGATATGCGATTTTTTTAAAATCGCGCGCGATGTTGCACTGAAACCCACTCTGAAACCCATTACGCAACCACACTGGTTATTTGCACTCTAGCTGACGACTGCCCGTGAGTCAATTTCCCCACAGCCATGGTTTTTTTCTGTTTTTTTGGGGTGTTTTTTTATTCTGTTTTAAAACGCGATGCGATTTAAAATCGCATCGCGCGATTTAATTAAATACCGCATGCGGTCTACATATTCATCGGGCGCAAAACGCGATGCGCGATGATTTTTTTTCCAGAAATTAAATCGCGCGATGCGATTTTAAATCGCATTGCATTTAATTAAATCGCCCCCCAATGCAATGCGATTTAAATCGCAATCGCATTTTGCCCATGTCTACCTTGCACCTTGCACCTTGCACCTTGCCCCTTGCACCTTGCACCTTGCACCTTGCACCTTGCACCTTGCCCCTTGCCCCTTGCTTGCCCCTTGCCCATTGCCTGTTGCCCGTCGCCCCTTGCCCCTTGTCAGTGTGTCGCTGTCGACGACGTTTGGCGGGTCGCCGGTGTCAGCGCACTCGCCGTACACACTCATCCTCGCCAACCTCAACACGCTGCTCGCCCAGTTCCTCTTCGTCTTCCTCTCCGGCGCTGGTACCTCCCTCCATCTCCTAAACCCTCGCATCCCCCCCCTCTCACTCCCTCCCTCTCCCTCTCTCTCCCTCTCTCTCCCTCTCTCTCCCCCTTTCTCCCTCTCTCACACACATGAGCGCACTCGTGTGTGCACCCGCTAACTCACACACGCATGCACAAGCACTCGTGCACACACACAAACGCGGACACACAAGAACAAACCCCAAGTCTCTTGTGCCTCGCCAATCCCATTGCATGTTGCAGTGCTGGATTCGTCATCCATACCTCCCCCGGTCACCTCCTCCCTCCCATCCCCTCCACTTCCGCCCTCTACCTCCACTCCCCTCCTCCTGGCCCGCTCCTCCCACCCGCACCCGACCCGCACCCCCCCACCCGCCTCCCACCCGCCCCCCACCCGTGGCAGTGTTTGCGCGCATGTCAGTGCCGTCTCACCCCGTGCGCTGCTCCCGCACCGCTCTCATCTCCGACCAGGCATTCGCCCTCCACACACCTGCTGCTACTGCTGACGCTGCTGTTCCTGCTGCTGCTGGCCCCCCTGCCTCCTCCGCTCCAGATCGAGTTCGGTATGTATACCACCATGTTCATCCCAAACCCCCCAAATCCCCCATCTCACTCTATCTCCCCCACCATCTCCACTACCCTCCCCCTCTTCCTTCCCTCCCCGAGCCCATCCCCCTAAGGGGACTCCATATTGGGGCTCCCCCACCGTTTCTTAAGCAGTCCTTTGTATCCATGAAAACTTAGGTATCCTCCGTTGTCGTGTCTTACCACTGCCACTTATCGTTCAAGTTGCTTCGTCAGCAGCACATATCGTTAGCACATAGCTGCCTCCTCCGCGTATCTCCTCCCCTCTCTTCCTCCACTTCCTTCCCCCTCTTCCTCCACAATTCTTCTCCCCCACCCTTCCCGCCCCCCCTCTCCTCCCCTCCCTCCCCTCCCTCCCATCCCCTCCATTCCATCTGCTCCCCTCTCTTCCCCCCCCCCCCCCAGGGTCTTCTCGACACGCTTTGTGCTGACGGGCCCGGCGCCGTGCGACCTGGTGGACGCGTCCGTGTCGCTCACCTTTCGCTGCTTCCTCCTGCTGCCCTCGGGCTCCGTCTTCTGCGCCGTGCACGACCTGCCAGTCGTCAAGGGGCAGGTGGGCAGTGGAGGGTCGTCAAGGGTACAAGGCTTGAAGAGTGTGAGTGAGGGCGAGTGTCTGCTGGATTATTGAGGTGACTGTTGAGGCGACTCTTGAGTCGACTCAAAAGGGGGATAAGGCGTGGGGAGTGTGAGGGCGAATGCCTGCTGGATTAGAGCGCAGCAAGAGTGCTTGGGAAGCGTGCCCCCTTAGTAGGTCCTCGAGCTGCCCGCGGGCTCCGTCTTCTGCGCCGCGCATGACCTGCCCGTTGTCAAGGGGCCAGTGGGCAGGGCAGCTGAGTGGGTGGGACCTACGGACTCACCTCCCTGTTGGTCTTCCGCTTTCTCCGCGCCTGTGCCGAGCTGGCGGCGAAGCGTCGGTACGACGCTGCACCTACCTCCCGCGAGGCCGCCAAGCTGTTCCACGAGTACCGCCACGGCTGGTCGGTCACTCTGCAGCGCGGGCAGGCCGTCGCCCTCAACATGAAGATCAACAAGGCCCTTGCGGCTGAGGAGGCTTCCCCGCGGAGCCCCTCCCCGTGGGCGACCTGCTCCAGGTCCTCGAGCCCGACCTGGGCGACCCTTAGGGCCGCTGTGGTCTAGTGAGCTAGGCGTCTGATGCTGACTGTTTTGTTTGCTGTATCTCTCTCTCACCGGCCATGCCTGTACCATACCACCTACTAAATACAAGGACATATTGTGGGGTGGGATTTTCCTCTTAGCAGTGGGGCAAAGGTGGGGGAAAGGTGGGGGACAGGTGGGGGGAGGATGGGGGAAGGGTGGGGAAAAGGTGGGGGTGGATTGGATCCGTCTTTGCATCGTCCCCGACCTGCCCTTTGTCATGGGGCAGGTGGGCATGGCAGTGCGGTGGGATGGGGGGTTGATTTGGCCGGGTCATTGTGTGTGGCATCAACAGCCTGCCTGTTGCGTGTGGCATCCATCCCCTTCCCCCCTCCGCCCTCACTTCTCCCTCCCCCCCCCCACCCCTTCCCCCTCCGCAGGTGCCATACCTGCAGTACAGCATGAGTGTGCGGCACACAGTGGACGAGAGCATCCCAATGCACCCAACCATGTGCACCACCACCACCCCCTCGCTCACATTCGGTCTCACATTCCCCCCACCTTCTCCCCACATTCCCCCCTTTCTCTCCCCACATTCCCCCCACCTTCTCCCCACATTCCCCCCACCTTCTCCCCACATTCCCCCACCTTCTCCCCATATTCCCCCCACCTTCTCCCCACATTCCCCCCACCTTCTCCCCACATTCCCCCCACCTTCTCCCCACATTCCCCCCACCTTCTCCCCACATTTCCCCCACCTTCTCCCCACATTCTCCCCCACCTTTTCCCCCACATTCTACCACACTCTCCCACTCTCCCTCGCTCCTTCCTCCCACCCCACCCCCTCCACCGCCCCTCCCCCCTCGCAGGTGCCATACCTGCAGTACGGCATGAGTGTGCGGCACATAGTGGACGAGAGCAGCCCCCTGTGGGGCCACACGCCTGCCACCCTGCACGCGGGCGATGCCAGCTTCGCGCTCGTCATCTCGGGCACCGACAGGGCGTCCATGCAGCCCGTCTTCCACATGCAGGTGCAGTTGCATGAGCGTGCTTGGGTATGTGCATGTGCACTTGAGCATGCTTGGGTATGTGCATGTGCACTTGCGCGTGCTTGTGTATGTGCATGTGCACTTGAGCGTGCTTGTGTATGTGCATGTGTATGTGCATGTGTATGTGCACGTGGGCGTCGGCTTCGCGCTCGTCATCTCGGGCACAGGCAGGGCCTCCATGCAACCCGTCTTCCACATGCAGGTGAGTTTCGAGACGTCTCAGAACTAGCCTACTTGGGCACGGACAGGGCGTCCTAGTAGCCCGTCTTCCACAAGCAGGTGCCCGCTGATCGCGCTGCCAGTGCCTTCATGTGCCTTCATGCGCCTTCATGTGCCTTCATGTGGCTTCATGTGCCTTCATGTGGCTTCATGTGGCTTCATGTGCCTTCATCTGGCTTCATGTAGCTTCATGTGGCTTCATGTGCCTTCATCTGGCTTCATGTGGCTTCATGTGGCTTCATGTGGCTTCATTGAACTGTGACGCGTCTTGTGTATGCGAGTGTCTTGGGGCACGCTCACCGCTCATGCCCGTCTCACTGGCTGCATGCCGGCATTGGCAGCTTCGCGCTGGCTGCTCGCGCTGGCTGTCATTTTGTCGCGCTGGCAGCTTCGCGCTGGTCGCGCTGGCTGTGGTTTGGTCTTTGAGGTGCCTCAAAACTTGCCTCGGGTGAGTGCATGTCCTGGGATCCCATCGTCACCTGCCCGTGGACCCACATCCACGTGCTCGCTGCCTCTGCTTGCTGCCTCTGCTTGCTGCCTCTGCTTGCTGCCTCTGCTTGCTGCCTCTGCTTGCTGCCTCTGCTTGCTGCCTCTGCTTGCTGCCTCTGCTTGCTGCCTCTGCTTGCTGCCTCTGCTCGCTGCCTCTGCTTGCTGCCTCTGCTTGCTGCCTCTGCTTGCTGCCTCTGCTTGCTGCCTCTGCTTGCTGCCTCTGCTTGCTGCCTCTGCTCGCTGCCTCTGCCTGCTGCCTCTGCTTGCTGCCTCTGCTTGCTGCCTCTGCTTGCTGCCTCTGCTTGCTGCCTCTGCTTGCTGCCTCTGCTTGCTGCCTCTGCTTGCTGCCTCTGCTTGCTGCCTCTGCTTGCTGCCTCTGCTTGCTGCCTCTGCTTGCTGCCTCTGCTTGCTGCCTCTGCTTGCTGCCTCTGCTTGCTGCCTCTGCTTGCTGCCTCTGCTTGCTGCCTCTGCTCGCTGCCTCTGCTCGCTGCCTCTGCTCGCTGCCTCTGCTCGCTGCCTCTGCTTGCTGCCTCTGCTTGCTGCCTCTGCTTGCTGCCTCTGCTTGCTGCCTCTGCTTGCTGCCTCTGCTTGCTGCCTCTGCTGCTCTGCTTGCTGCCTCTGCTTGCTGCCTCTGCTTGCTGCCTCTGCTTGCTGCCTCTGCTTGCTGCCTCTGCTTGCTGCCTCTGCTTGCTGCCTCTGCTTGCTGCCTCTGCTTGCTGCCTCTGCTTGCTGCCTCTGCTTGCTGCCTCTGCTTGCTGCCTCTGCTTGCTGCCTCTGCTCGCTGCCTCTGCTCGCTGCCTCTGCTCGCTGCCTCTGCTCGCTGCCTCTGCTTGCTGCCTCTGCTTGCTGCCTCTGCTTGCTGCCTCTGCTTGCTGCCTCTGCTTGCTGCCTCTGCTTGCTGCCTCTGCTTGCTGCCTCTGCTTGCTGCCTCTGCTTGCTGCCTCTGCTTGCTGCCTCTGCTTGCTGCCTCTGCTTGCTGCCTCTGCTTGCTGCCTCTGCTTGCTGCCTCTGCTTGCTGCCTCTGCTTGCTGCCTCTGCTTGCTGCCTCTGCTTGCTCTGCTGCCCTCTGCTTGCTGCCTCTGCTTGCTGCCTCTGCTTGCTGCCTCTGCTTGCTGCCTCTGCTTGCTGCCTCTGCTTGCTGCCTCTGCTTGCTGCCTCTGCTTGCTGCCTCTGCTTGCTGCCTCTGCTTGCTGCCTCTGCTTGCTGCCTCTGCTTGCTGCCTCTGCTTGCTGCCTCTGCTTGCTGCCTCTGCTTGCTCGTGGACTGTGGTTCACTGTGTGGCTGGTATATTATCAGGTAGGCCCATCTGTTTTCCTGTATCTTCCTCTCCCCCCTACCCTCCTCCCCCTCTCCCCCTACCCTCCGCCCCCTCTTCCCCCTACCCTCATCCCCCTCTCGCCCATGCTCCTCGCAGGACTACTACGTGCATGATGGCGAGGTGCAGTGGGGCAACGAGTACGACGACTTTGTCAGTGTCTCCGACTCCGGCGAGAGGATACTCGACCACTCGCGCGTGGACGCCATCAAGTCCTTCAAGGCACGTTCCTCTTGCTGCCCCTGCCCTCTCTTCTCCTCCCCAGTAATTTCGTCTTCGCTTCCTCGTCTACCGCTTTCTCTTCCTCCCTCTCTCTTCTGCCCCTCCTTCCCACCCTATCCCTGTTGTCCTGTGCTGCAATCTGTCAGTGGTTCTCTAAACTTGTCTGTGCGGTTCTTGGAGAGTGTCTTTGCATGGTTCTTACCTTACTGTCGGCTGAATTTTACCTGTAACTGTAACTGTAACTGCAACTGTAACTGTAACAGGTGGGAGCACTGGCAAGTCAAGCCATAGTGCGCATGGCAGCAGCAGCAAAGCAGCGGCAGCAGCAGCATCTTGACCAGCGCCGCCTCTTCTCCTGGCTCACCTTCCGCTCCACTGCCACTCCTCCTGCTGCTGCTTCTGATACTGCTGCTACTGCTCTTGCTGCTGCTGCTGCTGCTGCTACAGGGGCATCTGGTACTACTGGGGTTGTTGGGTCTGTCAAGAGGGAGAAAGTTGGACAAGATGGCATGGGGCAGGTGTTATCTGGGGTTGATCCCCGGGATGGGAGGATTGAACAGCGCATGCAGCAGAGAAAGCAGAGGCTATGGCGGCAGTGGGCATCTGGGTCTCTGCTTGCGACAAAGGATGACTGATGTTCATACAGTTACGGTGTGCGTGTGTATGTGCAGATGTGTGGTGGGTGTGGTTGTGCATATATATTTGTCAACTTATACATATTATCTATGTAGAAGTTATAGGCTAGACTGAGGTATGCTTCTAGTGAGTACAACCAACTAGTATTTGTTCTAGGTTTCCACCTCTAGTAATCATTCGTTTCTACGTTAACATGGTATCACGCTTAGGTTAGGATCCCCCCGCCTACCGCTTCCGCCCGTCGCGCCTCCTAGGCCCCGTCGCGCCCCCTAGGCCCCGTCGCGCCCCCCCTGGGCCCCGTCGCGCTCGTTAGGCCCCGTCGCGCCCCCCCTGGGCCCCGTCGTGCCCACTGGGTCCCGTCGCGACCCCTAGGCCCTAACGCGCCCCCGCTGGGCCCCGTTGCGCCTCCTAGGCCCCGTCGCGCCCCCCATGGGCCCCGTCGAGCCCGCTGAGCCCCGTCGTGCCTCCTAGGCATCGTCGCGCCTCCTAAGCCCCGTCGCGTCCCCCCCCTCTGGGCCCCGTCGCGCCCGTTCGGCCCCGTCGCGCCCCTCCTAGGCCCCGTCGCGCCCGCTGGGCCCCTTCGCGCTTCCAAGGCCCCGTCGCGCCTGCTAGGCCCCGTCGCGCCCCCCCTGGGCCCCGTCGCGCCCGTTAGGCCCCGTCGCGGCCCCCCTGGGCCCCGTCGTGCCCGCTGGTCCCCGTCGCGACTCCTCGGCCCCGTCGCGCCCCCCCTGGGCCCCGTCGTGCCCGCTGGGCCCCGTCGCGCCCCTTAGGCCCCGTCGCGCCCGCTGGCCCCTGTCGCGCCTGCTGTTAGCGCTCGCCCGCCTGGCCTCCTCCTAGTGCCGCTCGGCCTCCTCCTAGTGCCGCCCGGCCTCCTCCTAGTGCCGCCCGGCCTCCTCCTAGTGCCGCCCGGCCCCTTCCTAGCGCCGCCCGGCCTCTCCTCAGCGCTGCCCGGCCCCTCCTCGTGCCCGACCGGCCCCAGCAGCACCAGCCTGGCCCCTCCCAGCACCAGCCCGGCCCTAGAGCACCTGCCCGCCTCCCCTGCTCGGCCTGCCGTGTCCTCTCGGGCCCTGTGTCTTCTGCTTGCCTGCGCTGGGACGCCTAGCTGCTGCCCTACTGGAGAGTGCTGCCGCCGTGTCCCCGCGCCGCTGTGCTCCTGTGCCGCTGAGGAGCTGTGCTGCTGTGCCGCTGTGTCGCTGAGGAGCTGTGCCGCTGACCCTGCACGATGGCTGACTTTGTGCTCCGCCTGGACGCTGAGGGCCACGCGGTTGACTTCGCCGCCTGGCTCTCCGATCTTCGCCGCCAGCTTACAGGTCAGCGCCAGGATGGCCACTCTCTGGTTGTCCATGCTGATGGCTTGCTCCCCCGTCCCCCTGCACCTACTCCCCTCCCTGCTGACCCCTCCTCTGATGACCGTGAGGCTTTCTCTACTGCTGCGCTAGCCTGTGCGGTCTGGGACTCACGCGATGCAGTAGCTCAGGTTGCTATTAGTCACGCCCTCCCTGTGTCTGAGCGCTCGCGTTTTGCTACTGTTGAAACGGCCAAAGCTTATTTAGAAGCCGTTATTGCTCGCTATTCCACCCCTGCCTCCGCTTCTGCTGGCTGCTTGCTCTTTCCGATGCTGTTCCCAGACCTGGCTGCCTTCCCTACTGTCGCAGATTTTGCCACTCATTTGCGTGCCCTAGAGACTCGCTATCGCACTGCCAGCACTGCTGCCCAGCTCACTGCGCTCCCCCCTCCTTTCTGCATGACGCTCTATTTTATCGCTATGCGCCTGCCAGACCGCCTCGCTAGTGCTCGCGACCACTTTCTTAGCCAGCACCCGGGTGACCTCACCCTGACCGCCTTTGTCGACACCCTCACTGAGATCGAGACTCGCCAGCGCACTATCGCTCAGTCGAGCGGTGCGCCGGCAGTCTCTATCTTTCACGGTTGTGCCCCATCCCCGTGCACGTTCACTGACGTTTCGGCTGCGGTCGCCACGGCGACCCCTCTTACCGAGACGGCTGCTGCTGTCCACCCGCAGCAGCGCTCGCGTCGCGGTGGCCGTGGCCGCCAGGGAGGTAGGGGTGGTGACGCAGGTGGTAGTGGTCGTGGTGGTGGTGACGGTAGTCCGCCTGAGGGGACTACCACCGGTGGGCAGGAGCAGCAGTCCCAGCAGCAGCAGGACCAGCCCCAGCCGCAGCCGCCGTCCCAGCAGCACCCGCCGCAGCCGTGGGCTCGTCTCCCGCCTGGTTGGCCCGGCACCTCCGGAGGCGGTGGCCGTGGTGGCGGCCCGCGCAGCTTGGCGTCTACCAGCGGCTCCAGTGCTGTGACCTGCCAGTACCAGCTTCAGACCGGGCCTCTCCGCGGCACTCTGTGCCGCCGCCCGCACCCGACCGCCCACTGTTTCCGCCGCCTCGACGATCTTTTTCGTCGTCGCTTTGGCCCGGCCCCGGACCTCCCTGACTGGCACAGCCTGCTCCGCCAGGGCGTGCCGATCTTTGAGTTAGACATGGATCAGATAGGTGCTGCTTTGCATGCTTTGTATGCTGACGCTTCTAGTGTTGATGGATCTTACTACCATGTGTACTCTAGTTTAGGTGTTTCACCCTTGTGTAGCTTAGCTTCCCCTGCTGCGACAGGCGTAGGACTGCCTAGGTTGCCTAGTCTAGTCGCTGCACCGGCTCCGTCCGCGGCCTCCGCCACTGCGTCGCTGTCCTTCACTCTCGACTCTGGTGCTTCTGCCTGCTTCTTCCGCGACCGTTCCACGCTCACGCCGCTTGCTGCACCTGCTGTTGTCTCTCTCGCTGACCCCTCTGCGGGTCCGGTCGTCGCGCGCAGTTCTACGTCCCTTCCCTGTCCGGCAGTTCCCTCGGGCTCCCTTACTGGCCTCCACGTTCCCTCGTTCTCCAGGAACCTGGTTGGTGTCGGCTGTCTCCAGGACCTCGGCGTCACCACCACGTTCCCCGGGCACGAGCGGTTCGCTGTCTGTTCTGAGGCTGTCTCAGGTTCCCCCCTTGCGACGTTCCCCCGGGACCCGGTGTCCGGTCTGTTTACCCTACACACCGCTTCCCCCCCGGTTGGTGCGTCCTCCCAGGTCGCTGCAGCTTGCTCGTGTCGGTCCCTCACTCACCCCTCCCTTCTCTGGCACCACCGCTTAGGTCACCCTGCTCTCCCGCGTCTGCGTCACATGTCCCAGCACGGTCTTGTCTTAGGTCTCCCCGCGTCGCTCCCTGCCCTTCCTCCCTCGACTGCGCCACCGTGCACGCCTTGCGTCGAGGGTCGGCTCCGCCGTGCTCCTCACTCCTCCTCGCTGCGTCCTGCTACTGCCCCCCTTCAGACCCTGCACTTGGACGTTTGGGGCCCTGCCCCCGTCTCCGGACCGCGCGGTGAGCGCTACTTCCTTGTGCTCGTTGACGACTACACGCGCTACACCACGGTGTTTCCCCTGGAGCGGAAGGCCGACGTGCCCGACGTTCTTCTCCCGTGGGTTGTAGCTGCGCGTCTCCACCGCGGTCTCCCCGTGTTGTGTCTCCACTCCGACCGTGGCGGCGAGTTCGCCTCTGGTCGGCTTGGACAGTTCTGTCGTGCGGAGGGCATCACCCAGTCGTACACGTTGCCGGACTCGCCACAGCAGAATGGGGTTGCTGAGCGCCGCATCGGCTTGGTCATGGAGGTCGCCCGTACCTCCATGATCCATGCCGATGCCCCCCATTTTCTGTGGCCGTTCGCTGTTCGCTACGCGGCTCACCAGCTTAACCTGTGGCCACGCTCCCAGCGGCCGCAGGTTTCGCCGACCCTCCTTTGGACCGGGTCCCCCGGTGACGCGTCTGCGTTCCACGTCTGGGGCTGCCTTGCTCACGTTCGTGCCTCTGGCACGGACAAGCTCACTGCCCGCACTGTCCCCTGTGTCTTCCTCGGTTTCCCCCTGGACTCGTCTGACTGGCTTTTCTACCACCCGCCGTCTCACCGCTTCCTCCACTCTCGTGACGTCACCTTTGACGAGTCCGTCTCCTTCTACCACCGCTTCCCTCACCGAGGTCTCCCAGTTGCCCCCCCCCTTTTCCTTGCTCCCTCTCCCCCGGTAGCCCCTGCCCCTCTCCCGCCTCGTCCTGCCCCGTCTGGTGTCTCCCACGTCACTCCCCTCCCGTCGGTTGTCCCCGTTGAGGAGTCTGCTGACTCTGGTGGTACCCCCGGTCCGTCCTTGCCGCGTCCCCCTTCCCCAGTGCCTCCGCCCCCACTGTCGCAGTCGCCGACCCCGCTGCCGCCGCCGTCGCCGTCGCCGCCGCAGCCGTCGCCGCTGTCGCCGCCACTGCCGCCGTTGCTCTCGGCCCCTGGGGGTGCTGGTGTGGAGGAGGGTGTTCGTCCTGCGGCTTCTGGGGGTGCCGCTGGTGTTGGAGGGGGTTCTCGCTCTTGGGGTGTTGGTTCTGGGGGTGCTGCTGTTGAGTGTTCTGCCGACGGTCGTTCTGCCTCTGCTGGTCCCAGAGTTCCGGCCCAGCCGTCGTCGCCGCCACAGCAGCCGTCGCCGCCGGTTTCCGCTCTCCGCCTGCTCGGCCTTCCCTCCCCGGACCGCGCGCCGGTGTCTCCCCCACCGCCTCCTGACCTCCCTGTCTACGGTCCTGTGTTCCCGCCGCCAGACTCGTCTCCGGCCCGTCTTCCTCCTCGTTCCCCTCCTGTGTCTCCTCCGCTGTCCCCTAACCCTACCCCTCCGTCTCACGTTTGGGCTCGCCGTCCCTCCCGTGCTCGTCCCGTCTCTCCTGTCCTGCCCACCCACCCTATGTTGCTCCGTTCCCACTCGTCTCGTCCTCCCCTCCTCCCGTCCCCTCCTCCCTCGTCCCTTGCTGTTGCACCTCCTCCGTTCTCTGACTACCTCCGTGCTGCTCGTCCCCTTGTCCCTCGGGTCCTTGCCTCTCTTGTTACCGACCCTGCTGTTCCTGTCTCGCGCCTTGACGCGCTTGTCGCTGCTGTCGCTGACTTCGCTTCTACCCGCCGCCTTGACTACGCTACCGCTCTGGTCTCTGACCCTGCCCGTCCTCTGTCCGTCGGGGGTGCTCCTGCCCTTGGCAGTGACGTCCTAGAGGACAGGCAGTACGAGCTGGCTTTCCTTTCCGAGGCTGCTCCCCATCTCTGCTCCATGCTGTTAGTCCCTGAGGGTGACCCAGACGCCTTCGACATCCCGACCCCTCGCACCTACGCTGAGGCCACCTCGGGACCTTGGGCCTCTCAGTGGATAGCTGCCATGGAGCAGGAGATGGCATCTTGGAGATCCACCGGCACTTACGTCGACGCAGTTCCCCCGCCTGGGGTGAACGTAGTCGATGGTCGGTGGCTCTTCAAGGTGAAGCGCCCCCCTGGAGAGCCGCCTGTCTTCAAGGCGCGCTACGTGGCCAGAGGTTTCAGTCAGCGCGAGGGAGTTGACTTCTTCCAGACCTTCGCCCCGACCCCGAAGATGACCACTCTTCGGGCGCTGCTACACGTAGCAGCACAGCGTGACTACGAGCTTCACTCTCTCGACTTCTCTACTGCCTTTCTTCAGGGCAGCCTACACGAGCAGGTCTACCTGCGCCGACCACAGGGCTTCACTGGTACCTTCCCTCCTGGGACCCAGTGGCTTCTCAGGCGCCCGGTCTACGGCCTGCGTCAGGCTCCCCGCGAGTGACACGACACGCTACGTGCCACGTTAGCAGACCTGCAGTTCTTTCCGTCCTCTGCTGACCCTTCACTGTTTGTGCGTTCCGGCCAGACTCCGTTCTACATCCTTGTCTACGTAGACGACCTGGTCTTCGCTACTCCTGACAGGGACGCACTGGCCTCTGTGAAGGCTGAGCTGCTGAAGAGACACACCTGCACTGACCTTGGAGAGCTGCGTCGCTATCTTGGCCTGCAGATCTCTAGGGACAGAGCAGCACGCACCATCACTCTGACCCAGTCACACTTGGTGCGTCAGGTCCTTCAGAGGTTCGGTCTTCAGTTCTCCTCCGCACAGCCCACACCTCTACCCGTAGACCATGGGCTCTCTGCTCCCGTTCCTGAGGAGCCAGTAGAGCCCAGTGGCCCCTACGCAGAGCTGGTGGGTTGCCTCATGTACCTGATGACTTGCACTCGCCCAGATCTCGCATACCCTCTCAGCATCCTGGCTCGCTTTGTGGCTACAGGCAGACACCGACCTCAGCACTGGTCTGCCGCTAAGAGGGTTTTGCGTTATCTTGCTAGTACATCAGGCATGGGGTTAGTGCTAGGAGGACGCAGGCCAGTGGTCCTTACTGGGCACACAGACGCTTCTTGGGCAGACGACGCTGAGACGCTCAGGTCGTCGCAGGGCTACTGTTTTAGCCTTGGTTCGGGTGCTATCTCTTGGAGATCCACTCGCTCGTCGTCTGTGGCTCAGTCTAGCTGTGAGGCTGAGATCTACGCTGGTGCCATGGCGGCACAGGAGCTCCGCTGGCTGACCTTCTTGCTCACAGACTTAGGTGAGCGGCCTAGCTCTGCCCCGGTCCTGTACGCTGACAACAGGGCCATGATACTCCTGTGTCAGGAGCCTCGGCTTGAGGGCAGAGCGAAGCATATCCAGCTGCGGTACTTCCTCCTGCGCGAGCTACAGCAGCGCCGCCAGGCCCGCGTAGTTCACTTGGCCTCAGGTGCCAACACAGCTGATATCTTTACTAAGGCGCTTGCGCCTAAAGATCATCAGCGGCACTGTGTACAGCTTGGTCTTGTTCCTATAGCTGCTCCCCTGTTAGGATCCTGATTGTGTACTCTCTATTATATATGCTTGTCAGACTGGCCTTGTGGCCTTACCTCCAGTGGCTGGACTAGTAGTGCCATCCTGGCTTGCTTCAGTTTTGGTTGTATTCTTGCTGACTGGTCTCCAGACCCCTGCCTCAGTGGTTGGACTAGTAGTGCCGCCCTGAGCTGTTTGCTTCTTGTTTAGTTTCACCCCTTGTCTAGCCTAGGGGGTGTGTCAACTTATACATATTATCTATGTAGAAGTTATAGGCTAGACTGAGGTATGCTTCTAGTGAGTACAACCAACTAGTATTTGTTCTAGGTTTCCACCTCTAGTAATCATTCGTTTCTACGTTAACAATATTGTGTTATGTTATCAGGTACTCGTACGAAAACAATAAGTTTGCCAGATTTGTGTGGCGTAAATGGTTGGGACTTCAAGTGTGCAGTGCAGCACCAAGAACTAAATTTCTTTATGTCAAAGACTAGACCAAACTACTTGAAGGTTGAGTACCGTTATGTTGTTCCTCCTTGTAACTTTCAAATGGTTTCAATGTAGAAAGCCGGAAATAAGTATTGATATGTACGTGCTTTCCCATATTCTCATCGCCCTCTTATTCGGCGCCACGTGCTCACACCAGGGACTCGACTCGACTGGCATGGGAAGCTCTGCATGTGCAAATAGCGCGACTCGAATTCGGGCATTCGCACGATCCAACATTGGGTGAAACGCGCCCCGGTTTTTGCCGAGAATCAACGGCCCCTTTGCTGGGCCCCTTGAACTACCTTTAGTCCTCCCATAGCCTCCCCCCCACGCCATCTCCATCAGGAGATTCGCCCAGCCCAATTCGCTGCATTAGTCGAACACTCCATCCGTGGCCGTCCGCCTTGCGCTGCTCTCCTCGCCAACTTCTATTATCGTGAACGTTCGGATCGGACAGCGAGCAGATCAGAAGAGAATTGTTGCCGGCCGGTTTTTTGGGAGAGAGGACTAGGAAGCTGGCAGGAATACGGACTTTCGTTTTCCACGCGTTACCATCATGGAGAGCGGCTACGATTCCGACGTCGGATCGGATAATAATGGCGGACCCGACTCGGAAGCGCCAGAAGCGCTCGCCTCAGGCTTTCCATTAGGGCTTGAGCCGGTTGACCTGGGTACGGAGGCTAAAGGTGGAACAGCAGGGATTGCGAAGGGCGAGTCGGGAGTCCGGGAGAGGACGCTGCTAGCGTTGAAGGAAGCGCTGAAGCGTGAAGGGGATGACATCATCGAGAGGTGGGTTACCGAGAGGCGCGTGGCCCTGCTCACGCTGAGACCTCCTGGTAGCACAATACGTGACATTTCACCAGTTCATGATTACCAGTACTCACGTGTAACCCACCACACCCCCCCAATCCCACCCACCTCCCCTCCCCTCCTCCTCTCCCCCTCTGTGACACATGTAACACGTTCGAATCCCTCCGCGATATTTGGGTCCGCGGAAACTACGCCAATCCATCTCCGCCTGTTTCAACCCTTTCTGACATGAGGAAACGCCTTTTCCCCGCCCCGGCCAATGCGTGCAGTCGCCTGCGCCCCGTGGTGTCGATGCTGGAGCAGGCGCACCGCTCCTACCGCGCGCTGCACGCGCGCTACGAGAGGCAGCGCGCGGAGCACGAGCGCCTGCGCGGGTACGCGCGCGTGCAGGAGGTGCGCGTGCTGGCGCTGGGGGAGGAGCTGGACGCGCTCGAGGTGCGCATGAAGAGAGACGGCCCCACGGCGGCGCTTGATTGGCTGCGATCGCGGGAGAGGAGCCGGAAAGCAGCCATTGAGGACGACGACTCTAAAGAACAACTTGTTCCTACTGCGAAGACCGAAGACGCCTATGCTGCTGCCGCGGTAGGGGCAACGGCGGGGGTCAGTACGACTAGCAGTGCTACTAGTGACTCGACCAGTGGTGGAAACGTGCTTGATCCTGGCGTTGAATCCACGGCGAATGACTCCGTCGGATCCGTTGAACGCGGTGGGCCCACCACAGCGGTGAGCGACGAGTGGGAGTTGGTGTGGGAGGACGCGATAGAGGCAATGAGCAGGAGAGAGCGAGACAGCTTGCTTCCACACGCCCATCGTGTAACGACTAGGAGAACCGACCGTGGGTCGTTCGCAGCGGCCTCGGAGCCCGCCGACGCTGCTGGCAGTTCCTCACCCACTCCGAGTAGCAACCACGGTGCCGCTGCCAGCATCGTGCTGGAAGAACAGCCGCCTCTCCCCACGGCCCGTGCCACTGCCGCTGCTCCGTTCTGTCAGACGGGTGCGCAAGAGCAGGCGGGAGGAGCGGTGCCCGAGGGGCCGCAGGCAGCGACTAGGGGGTTCGAGGGCAAGGAGGAGGCAGGTGGAACAGGAGGGCTGCCAGAGGGGCTCCAGATAGAGAGTAAGGGGTTAACAGAAGGAGAGCAAGGAGGAAGAGAGTCAGGTATAACAGGAGGGCTGCCAGAGGGCGCGTCAGTGGAGGAGAGTCCTGAAACGAAGACGCAAGGCAATGAGAAGCGGGCCGGGGCGGAGGGAACGGGGGAGTTTATTGGGGAGGAGGAGGCGAAGAAGGGCCCTTTTGGGGAGGAGGAGGCGAAGAAGGGCCCTTTTGGGGAGGAGGTGAGACGTTCGTCTGGTGATCAGCTGTGGCCTGCTGAGCGTGAGGCGGTAGTGGCGGCAGAAGCGAGAGGCAGCGGGGATTCCACCGTGGAGGGAGGAACAGTCGTGGAGGGAGGAACAGTCTCGGCCACGCAGGCCAAATGGGAGGCACTCACTGCCAAGGCGGCGGCAGAGGGTAGCAAAGCGGACGATGCGCTCAAGAGTCCGGGCCACGCGGCACGCAGCAGCAGCAGCCGGGGGTCGGGTCGCGGTGAGCGGCACAGCCGGCGGCCGAGCGTGGTGGAGATAGAGGAGGTCATCGAGCCCCTGCCTGGCTCCCCTGATGCCTCTGCCTCTGCTGCTGCTGCTGGTGCTGCTGGTAAAGCGGAAGGAGGGACGATTGGCGATGCGGGGAAGGAGGCATGGCGAGGATTCCAGGGAGCAGCAAGTCCGTTCAGCTCCCCTCTATCCACTGCTGGCAGCAGCGCCAGCATGGAGGTGAATGAGGGATCTCCTGGGCCTTACGGGCGGTCTGGGCCATCTGTGGCGTCCGTGGCGTCTGTGGCGTCTGTGGCATCATCGCCGGGTCTTTCACTGTCTACCCCTGGCGCGTCTCTCCTTCCTGGCAACTCGAGTCCCTTACCCACTCCAGGCCGCCCTCTCCATGCAGCCCGAGGCAGCCCCTGCTCCTCCCAGCAGTGGCATGGAGCTGGGGGCATGAAGTGGGAGAGACTTCCTGAGCGGTCTGAGCTTCCTGAGGGCTTCTCTGAGGGCTTTTCTGAGCGCCCTGAGCGCTCTGAACGTCCTGGGCTGGACAAGAGAGCAACTTCAGACCTTGCGATGCATGAAGGGGGTGGTTTGGAGTGGGGTACGGGCAGTGAGTTGACGAGGAGGGCGACGGCGGGTGAGGCTGGCTTGTGGGCCTGTCGCAGTGTGGGGGAGAAGGGTGGTGGCAGTGGCACGGAGGGAGATGCGAGCTATGGTGCTGCGGATAATGGTGGTGATAGTGGTGGAATTGCTGAGAGGGATCCTCCCCCACAAGGCTTTCTTGGTCGGGTGGTGGGCGTGCTGAGGGAGGAGGCGGCAAAGAACGTGGACAGGATCAGCGAGAAAGGGATCATGGCCATTCCTGGAGCAACGGGGGGGTTTTACTATGGCCTGGTACGACGATCTCTCGGGGGCTCATAGGCTTGCCATGGGGAATGCTCCCCTCGATTGATTTTAAGAAATGTTGCCAGGTGTTTGACATGAGAAGTTGGAAGTGAGACGAGTAGAATCAAAGCAACCTGTTCTAGTTGTCTAACTTGTACAGCTTAAAGCCGTTGACCCAAATTGCAGAAATTTTGTTTCAAGTTTATTAATCTTGAAACTGCCCTTCTGGTAACCCAGTTCCGCAAAACGAGAGGGAAAACTAAGATCGCGCACAAAAAAGACGGGAAACATGTGATAGGCGTGCGCCACCCCCAGCCAATTCCGCCCCTGCCCCCGATACACCAGGCGTTTGAGCAGAAAGAAACTTGAAACTTGCGCTCATACATTTTGGGACTTTTGAAGTGCAACCCAGCCCAGCGCCACCACGCCTACGGGCGTGGTACTTCTGCAAAAACTGGGTCAAGTTGCGCAGCGCAGGAATCACAGTTTGCGAAGTGCCTGAAACGATAGCGAGTTGTTTGTTACTAGATTCCCCGCACCAAATCTAGTTCCGCGTTTCGATTTGCATTTTTCGTGTGAGCGGCGTGAAAATACCAATGTTCTTTACAACAATTGATATGCGTGCGCCACCCCACTGTCGAGAAGAAAACTGAATGATTAGAATAGAGGGAGAGAACAAGGGTATATACCTAAGTGTGTTGTACCCTCTAAGAGGTGACCCTACACAGTCTATACAAATATGAGTTCTACATATATTTGACACACCCCCTAGACTGCATAGGGGTAAATCCTGAACAAGCAGCTCAAGGCGGCACTACTAGTCCAGCCACTGAGACAAGGGTCTAAAGACCAGTCAAAAGGAGTACAGGCAAGACAAGAACAAGACTAGGGCAGCACTACTAGTCCAGCCACTGGGAAAGGACACAAGTCCAGTCTGAGTACATATATAGATATATATAGGACAGTACAAAGTCAAGGTCCTAGCAAGTGAGAGGCTACAGGAACTAGACCGAGCTGTACACAGTGCCGCTGATGATCTTTAGGCGCAAGCGCCTTGGTAAAGATATCAGCTGTGTTGGCACCAGAGGCCAAGTGAACTACGCGGGCCTGGCGACGCTGCTGTAGCTCGCGCAGGAGGAAGTACCGCAGCTGAATGTGCTTCGCTCTGCCCTCAAGTCGAGGCTCCTGACACAGGAGTATCATGGCCCTGTTGTCAGCGTACAGGACCGGGGCAGAGCTAGGCCGCTCACCTAAGTCTGTGAGCAAGAAGGTCAGCCAGCGGAGCTCCTGTGCCGCCATGGCACCAGCGTAGATCTCAGCCTCACAGCTCGACTGAGCAACAGACGACGAGCGAGTGGATCTCCAAGAGATAGCACCCGAACCAAGGCTAAAACAGTAGCCCTGCGACGACCTGAGCGTCTCAGAGTCGTCTGCCCAAGAAGCGTCTGTGTGCCCAGTGAGGACCACTGGCCTGCGTCCTCCCAACACCAACCCCATGCCTGATGTACTTGCTAGATATCGCAAAACCCTCTCCAGGGGGGCGCTTCACCTTGAAGAGCCACCGACCATCGACTACGTTCACCCCAGGCGGGGGAACTGCGTCGACGTAAGTGCCGGTGGACCTTCAAGATGCCATCTCCTGCTCCATGGCAGCTATCCACTGAGAGGCCCAAGGTCCCGAGGTGGCCTCAGCGTAGGTGCGAGGGGTCGGGATGTCGAAGGCGTCTGGGTCACCCTCAGGGACTAAAAGCATGGAGCAGAGATGGGGAGCAGCCTCGGACAGGAAAGCAAACTCGTACTGCATGTCCTCTAGGACGTCACTGCCAAGGGCAGGAGCACCCCCGACGGACGGAGGACGGGCAGGGTCAGAGACCAGAGCGGTAGCGTAGTCAAGGCGGCGGGTAGAGGCGACGTCAGCGACAGCAGCGACAAGCGCGTCAAGGCACGAGACAGGAACAGCAGGGTCGGTAACAAGAGAGGCAAGGACCCGAGGGACAAGGGGATGAGCAGCACGGAGGTAGTCAGAGAACGGAGGAGGTGCAACAGCAAGGGACGAGGGAGGAGGGGACGGGAGGAGAGGAGGACGAGACGAGCGGGAACGAAGCAACATAGGGTGGGTGGGCAGGACAGGAGAGACGGGACAAGCACAGGAGGAACGACGAGCCCAAACGGCAGACGGAGGGGTAGGGTCAGGGGACAGCGGAGGGGACACAGGAGGGGAACGAGGAGGAAGACGGGCCGGAGGTGAGTCCGGCGGCTGGAACACAGGACCGTAGACAGGAAGGTCAGCGGGCGGTGGGGGAGACACCGGCGCGCGGTCCGGGGAGGGAAGGCCGAGTAGGCGGAGAGCGGAGACCGGCGGCGACGGCTGCTGCGGCGGCGACGACGGCTGGACCGGAACTCTCGGACCAGCAGAGGCAGAACGACCGTCGGCAGAACACTCAACAGCAGCACCCCCAGAACCAACACCAGCGGCACCCCCAGAAGCCGCAGGACGAACACCCTCCTCCACACCAGCACCCCCAGGGGCCAGAGCGGCGGCGGCAGCGGCGGCGACGGCTGCGGCGGCTGCGGCGGCGACGGCGACGGCGGCTGCAGCGGGGTCGGCGACTGCGACAGTGGGGGCGGAGGCACCGGGGAAGGGGGACGCGGCAAGGACAGACCGGGGGTACCACCAGAGTCAGCAGACTCCTCAACGGGGACAATCGATGGGAGGGGAGTGACGTGAGAGACACCAGACGGGGCAGGACGAGGCGGGAGAGGGGCAGGGGCTACCGGGGGAGAGGGAGCAAGGAAAAGGGGGGGGGCAACTGGGAGACCTCGGTGAGGGAAGCGGCGGTAGAAGGAGACGGACTCGTCAAAGGTAACGTCACGAGAGTGGAGGAAGCGGTGAGACGGCGGGTGATAGAAAAGCCAGTCAGACGAGTCCAGGGGGAAACCGAGGAAGACACAGGGGACAGTGCGGGCAGTGAGCTTGTCCGTGCCAGAGGCACGAACGTGAGCAAGGCAGCCCCAGACGTGGAACGCAGACGCGTCACCGGGGGACCCGGTCCAAAGAAGGGTCGGCGAAACCTGCGGCCGCTGGGAGCGTGGCCACAGGTTAAGCTGGTGAGCAGCGTAGCGAACAGCGAACGGCCACAGAAAATGGGGGGCATCGGCATGGATCATGGAGGTGCGGGCGACCTCCATGACCAAGCCGATGCGGCGCTCAGCAACCCCATTCTGCTGTGGCGAGTCCGGCAAGGTGTACGACTGGGTGATGCCCTCCGCACGACAGAACTGTCCAAGCCGACCAGAGGTGAACTCGCCGCCACGGTCGGAGTGGAGACACAACACGGGGAGACCGCGGTGGAGACGTGCAGCCACAACCCACGGGAGAAGAACGTCGGGCACGTCGGCCTTCCGCTCCAGGGGAAACACCGTGGTGTAGTGCGTGTAGTCGTCGACGAGCAGAAGGAAGTAGCGCTCACCGCGCGGTCCGGGGACGGGGGCGGGGCCCCAAACGTCCAGGTGCAGGGTCTGAAGGGGGGCAGTAGCCGGGCGCAGCGAGAAGGAGTGAGGGGCACGGCGGAGCCGGCCCTCGACGCAAGGCGTGCACGGTGGCGCAGTCGAGGGAGGAAGGGCGGGGAGCGACACAGGGAGACCTAAGACAAGGCCGTGCTGGGACATGTGACGCAGACGAGGAAGAGCAGGGTGACCTAAGCGGTGGTGCCAGAGAAGGGACGGGTGAGTGAGGGAACGACACGAGCAAGCTGCAGCAACCTGAGAGGATGCACCAACCGGAGGGGAAGCGGTGTCTAGGGTAAACAAACCGGACACTGGGTCCCTGGGGAACGTCGCAAGGGGGGAACCTGAGACAGCCTCAGAACAGACAGCGAACCGCTCGTGCCCGGGGAACGTGGTGGTGACGCCGAGGTCCTGGAGACAGCCGACACCAACCAGGTTCCTCGAGAATGAGGGAACGTGGAGGCTTGTAAGGGAGCCCGAGGGAACTGCTGGACAGGGAAGGGACGTAGAACTGCGAGCGACGACAGGACACGCAGAGGGGTCGGCGAGAGAGACGACAGCTGGCGTAGCAAGCGGCGTAAGTGCGGAACGGTCGCGGAAGAAGCAGGCAGAAGCACCGGAGTCGAGAGTGAAGGACAGCGCAGCAGTGGCAGGGGCGGGGAACGGAGCCGGCGCAGAGACGAGGCTAGACAAACTAGGCAGTCCTACGCCTGACGCAGCAGGGGAGGCTAGGCTACACAACGGTGCAACACCTAAACAAGAGAACACAGGATAATAAGATCCAGCAACACTAGCAGCGTCAGAATACATGGCATGCAAAGCAACACCTATCTGATCCATGTCTAACTCAAAGATCGGCACGCCCTGGCGGAGCACGCTGTGCCAGTCGGGGAGGTCCGGGGCCGGGCCAAAGCGACGACGAAACAGATCGTCGAGGCGGCGGAAACAGCGGGCAGTCGGGTGCGGGCGGCGGCACAGAGTGCCGCGAAGGGGCCCGGTCTGAAGCTGGTACTGACAGGTGACAGCACCGGAGCCGCTAGTAGACGCCAAGCTGCGCGGGCCGCCACCACTGCCACCACCCCCTGAGGAGCCGGGCCAACCAGGCGGGAGGCGAGCCCACTGCTGCGGGGGCTGCGGCTGGGACGGCGGCTGCTAGTGGGACGGCGGCTGCGGCTGGGGCTGCTCCTGCTGTGGCTGGGGCTGCTGCTCCTGACCACCGATGCTAGTCCCCCCAGACGGACTAGTCTCACGACCACCAGCACCACTACCTGCACCACCACCCCTACCACCCTGGCGACCACGGCCACCGCGGCGCGAGCGCTGCTGCGGGTGGACCGCAGCAGCCGTCTCGGTGAGAGGGGTCGCCGTGGCGACCGCAGCCGAAACGTCAGTGAACGTGCACTGGGAGGGGGCACAGCCGTGAAAGATAGAGACTGCCGGCGCACCGCTCGATTGAGCGATAGTGCGCTGGCGAGTCTCGATCTCGGTGAGGGTGTCGACAAAGGCAGTGAGAGTGAGGTCAGCCGGGTGCAGGCTAAGGAAGTGATCGCGAGCACTAGCGAGGCGATCTGGCAGGCGCATGGCGATAAAATAGAGCGTCATGCAGAAAGGGGGGGGGAGCGCAGTGAGCTGGGCAGCAGTGCTGGCAGTGCGATAGCGCGTCTCTAGCGCACGCAGGTGAGTGGCAAAGTCTGCGACAGTAGGGAAAGCTGCAAGGTCTGGGAAAAGCATCGGAAAGAGCAGGCGACCAGCAGAAGCTGACGCGGGTGTGGAATAGCGGGCAATAACAGTGTCTAAGTAAGCTTTGGCCGTCTCAATAGTAGCAAAACGCGAGCGCTCAGAGACAGGGAGGGCATGGCTAATGGCGACCTGAGCGACTGCATCGCGGGAGTCCCAGACCGCACGGGCAAGCGCAGCAGTAGAGAAGGTCTCACGGTCATCAGAGGAGGGATCAGCAGGGAGGGGGGCAGGTACAGGGGGGCGGGGGAGCAAGCCGTCAACATGGACAACCAAAGAGTGGCCATCCTGACGCTGACCTGTAAGGTGGCGGCGGAGATCGGAGAGCCAGGCGGCGAAGACAACCGCATGGCCCTCGGCGTCCAGTCGGAGCACGAAGTCTGCCATCGTGCAGGGTCAGCGGCACAGCTCCACAGGAACACAGCTACAGCCCCCTCCAGCACAGTGGCCACGAAGCGCCTCAGCACGGGCGAGCGGAGGAGACGGAGCCCGAGGCGGCACAGCAGGACAAGCCGGAGCGAAAGGGCCAGGCAGGTACGGTGGGGCCATGCAGGCACGGCAGGGCCAGGCAGGCGCGGCGGGCCAGTCAGGGGCGGCGGGGCCAGGAGGCACGGCGGGGCCAGAAGGCACGGCGGGGCCAGGCAGGTGCGGCGGGGCCAGGAGGCGCGGCAGGGCCAGGCAGGCGCGGCGGGGCCAGGCAGGCGCGGCGGGTGCTAGGAGGCACGAGGGGCCCAGGAGGGGCGCGACGGGCTAGGAGGCGCGAGAGGGGCCCAGGAGGGGCGCGATGGGCTAGGAGGCGCGAGTGGGGCCCAGGAGGGGCGCGACGGGCTAGGAGGCGCGATAGGGGCCCAGGAGGGGCGCGACGGGCTAGGAAACGCGGCAGGGGCCCATGAGGGGCGCGACGGGCTAGGAGGCGCGACAGGGGCCCAGGAGGGGCGCGACGGGCTAGGAGGCGCGAGTGGGGCCCAAGAGGGGCGCGACGGGCTAGGAGGCGCGATAGGGGCCCAGGAGGGGCGTGACGGGCTAGGTGGCGCGCCAGGGGCCCAGGAGGGGCGCGACGGGCTAGGAGGCGCGAGTGGGGCCCAGGAGGGGCGCGACGGGCTAGGAGGCGCGATAGGTGCCCAGGAGGGGCGTGACGGGCTAGGAGGCGCGATAGGGGCACAGGAGGGGCGCGACGGGCTAGGAGGCGCGAGTGGGGCCCATGAGGGGCGCGACGGGCTAGGAGGCGCGATAGGGGCCCTGGAGGGGCGCTACGGGGCCTAGGTGGGGGCGGCGCGACGGAGCCTAGGGGAAAGCGCGACGGGGCCTAGGAGGAACGGACGGAAGCGGTAGGTGGGGGGGGGGGGGGTCGAACCTACGGGTGATACCATGTCGAGAAGGAAACTGAATGATTAGAATAGAGGGAGAGAACAAGGGTATATACCTAAGTGTGTTGTACCCTCTAAGAGGTTACCCTATACAGTCTATACAAATATGAGTTATACATATATTTGACATCCACCCCAAAGTTGTTTGGCGAAAATTGCCAAGTTAAGTTACCCACACGAGTTGCGCAACAGGGTCAAGTTGCACAGCCCAAATCTCGCCAAAAGCACCACGTCCTTACGTGTGCCTTCCTATTGTTCGCTGTTTATCACCCCTCCCACACTCCCACTCTCTCCCTCCTTTCTCCCCCCCCCTCCCCAACCAGCTTCCCGCGCTTAGCGCACCCCTCCTTTCCCTTTTCCGTCCCACCCTCCCCTTTTGTCCTTTTATATTGGCGGTGTTTTGCGTGCTCGGTTTGTTTGCGCCCTGATTGGTTCATGAGGTTTCGTCAAGAGTGTTTTTGTCGCGCATGGTGTTGCGACGCTCGCTCGTTGGCGAAAACCACTCGCCACCTCGCACCACTGCCCTACGCCCCTGCGCGCTGCCGTGTCCAATTTTTTGCCCCTATCATGTTTATTAATCTTGCACGTTTTGGGTCAACGGCAAGGCATATGTTTCTGTTTAGTGACCTGCTTGCCTTATTTAGTGATGCTTTGGAAGTGGAGGCAAATTCCATAAGAGAGTACCTTATGAGACTCCTCAGTGAAGTACGATGGTTGCTTTTGACCCCAGAACGGTGCAGAGCCTTACACTGTGGGCTTGCGTTCGGCTCGCGTGGGCTTTTCCCCGAACGCTCGACCCCTTCGCAGGTTACATTTGTCGCGACAGTCGTGAGAGCCTTCGCTTGATTGAAACCCCGCAATTTCCGTCTAGTTCTGGCCCGCAGGTTACAGAAGGTTCTGGATGCCAGAATCAAGAGAGCCTACACACCACACGCCCTAAAGTTGATCCTGGGAGCCGCGCGGCTTGACCAAAACGAGGCTGACACTTCTGAGTAGGTCAGAGCTGCGAACCAATCAACATAGTTCTAGCTGCTGAACTGCCACCGACCTTCTTGGGAAAGAGTCAAATTCTTCAGAATCCCAGATTCCGATTTCGCCGCCACCATGTACAGTACAGAAACCGCCGACACCAGCAAAACCAACACCTTCTCTCCAGGGCTTACTTTTGGTTTTTAGTCACCCTTATAAAATCGGGCTCCTTGAAAGTTTACCCTGAAGTTTCAGGGTCCAGCGGAAGGCAACCCTTAATCATTAGGGTTCGTTCGCACAGTACCCTTTTCACTGCCACGGTTAGAATCTACCAGGAGATGTATGGACAAGACGAAAAGGGCGTAAGTAACGTGCACGGGGCTGTGAGGGGAGAATGACGAAAATCCACTAAGTGAGTTGTCTCCCCTCTATTTGTGACAACGAGGTGTGAGTAACGTGCTGTGAGGGGAGAAGAACGAAAATCTACTAAGGGAGTTGTCTCCCCTCTGTTGGTGGACTACGAGGTGTGAGTAACGTATTGTGAGGGGAGAAGAACGAAAATATACTAAGGGAGTTGTCTCCCCTCTGTTGGTGACTACAAGGTGTGAGTAACGTGCTGTGAGGGGAGAAGGTCGAAAACCTTTCAAGGGAGTTATCTCCCCTCAGTCAGTTGGTGTGAGTACGTGCTGTGAGGGGAGAACAACGAAAATCTTCTAAGGGAGTTGTTCCTCTTAAGGAGATCCCCCCTGTAGCCCTACCAGCACTAGTAGTACACTCAGGGTAGGAAACAAATATACCCTTAATCTTAAGGGTCACACTATGCATAAACCCTGAATCCCCCGGGTTAATGAAAATATAACCCTTAATTTGTGGGTCCAGCTGAAAAACTACCGTTTATTTGACTCGAATTTAGGGCAACAACCCTTGAAAAATAGGCCCTGCTTCCCTCTGTTCTGGACAGTCGAGGTAGACCAGCAAACCAGCAACGGCGGGCCGATGGAATGGTGTTGGATTGGATGGGTACAGAAACACGCCTCGATACTGTAACTTGTAGGATGCGACCGATTCAGTAGCCCTTTGACTGGCCCGCCCAACCACATTCTTGGCGACACGTCGTTGTGAGCTGTTTCTTCGAAGGTACAGTACTTGCTTCTCAGGAAAGTCGCAACGGAAAGGGGTTGTCGTTCGTCCTCCCTCCCCAGCTCCGTGGCGAAAAGGTGTTGCCTGTGTCATGGTGAATCTGGTTGCTCGCTGCATCTGTTCCGCGAAGCTCAGGGCGTGGAACATACGGTTCCGGAATTGGCTACTGTTCGGACAAACATGTGGTTTCCCAAATCGCCATCTTTCGTTAAGGTCCTCGCCAGGGCTTATGCGAAAGACATGCTTCACCGAATCCAGGATATCCTAGACCGCCCGAACAACGCTGTCCGAACGGCCTCTCCTCCAAAGCCGATTGGTCAACCATACTGAAGCGCTGACGAAATTGACGAACCGTACTCTCTGTCACCCCATGCGCCTCGCGATAGCCGCGAAAGGCTACAACATTGCTCCCCAAACGGCAATCCATGCAGAAACTAATTCCCAGGCCAGGCGCATGTGTCACAACCACCTTCTGAACCAGCATGCCGAGCATTTCGACGGGTGGCGGAAGTTGAACGAAGTCACGTATGTTGCATACTTTTCGTGATCTTCGTCTTTTTAGCCAGCCTTGTCGCTGTTCGAAAATTCGAGCAGAGGTACCAGGTCAGTTTTTCGGACCGGCCTGGTTTCGGAACTGCATGTTCCAGCCTCGTCCGGTGTTTTGTTTAGGCGTTCTCAAACCTCAGTTCCGGAATTCAAAAGTCAGAACCGTATGTTCCACGCCCTCATCGTCTCCCGCCAAGGTGGTTGGATGTGCCCCACGCGCGAAAACGTTTCCCCCCACAGCAGCAACCCCGCCCACCCCATCCAAAGGGTGTTCCGGAGGTGACAAACTGGCGGAAACCACGCGGGCGGGGCTTGGGTAGTGCTGGGGCGAGGTGCTTGGGGGAACAGCTCACCGACTTGGGGTTGGGGGGGACACCTGCGGAGAAGAACCGCTGCGCTGCGCGGGGAAGTTGGGCGGGATAGGATGGGGGAAGGGGAGGGAGAGGAGAGAAGAGGACGGCCTCCTTCCTTGCTACGCTAGGATACTGTAGCTGGTGGGCGGAATGGCAGGCTTGGCTTGGCCTGGTTGGAGTCAAGAGGGCGGGTGGTGATGAGTTGCGCCCATGGTTCCGACGAGCATGTCTGCTGTGATGGGGAAGGGAGAAGCGGATGGGGGGGAGACGAGACGAAGGAATGCGCTCCAACAGGTTGGTTGTCATGCTTCTGTGTCCCCTCCCTTGTAGAGAAATCATTGTTTTGGCCATCTCGAAATAGGATCGACGCAATCCATTGCCGTGGAATGATAAACTGCCGATTCCTGGACAACCACAGCACTTGCAGTAGCAGTAGCTGTAGCACTATGGACGACGCTGTGGAAAACGACTGTTCGTTGAGGTGCGACAGACGATGCGACAGACGGTGCGACGGGTCGTGCGACAGCCTGTGCGAGCAATTGGCGCAATCGAACAGCGTAGCGGCGACTGCAGCCGAGCAATTGGAGTCGCTGGACGACAATCGCAGGGAACTTATTCCTGCGACAGTCCTAGCCACCACAGTACGAAGTGCGGCCATGGCCCGCAACTCCTCGCCGCCGCTTCCCCCGTCTCACGCCTCAATGTCGCACGCCTCATCGTCGCACACCTCATTGTCGCATGCCTCGTCGCCGTCGCGTCTTTCGTCGCAACCTCCGCGCGCGGTCAGCCAACGCTTGATCGCACACGGCAAAGCGGGTCGCAGCGAGCCTCACTCCGCGCACATCGCGTCCCGCCTGTCGCTGCTCCTCCTGTTGCTCCTCTCAGACATCACCCCACCATCCTCGCTACCTTCACCAGCACGGACCCTATCACTATCGTCGTCATCGTCATCGTCGTCAGAAAGGGCATCGCAATCGCAGAGATCATCGCAGAGGCTATCGCAGAGGCTGTCGCAACGACTATCGCGATGGGGGGAATCTCGATCGCGCGTGCTGGTGGCGCGCGCGCAGCAGGACTCGCCGCTGCTGGGGCAGGGCGTGGACCCCGTGGCGGCGGGCGCTGCGACCAACTGCACGCCCGTGTTCATGAGCGCCGTGCTGCACAAGCTGCTCAAAGTCGACGGTACGCACCCCATGCTCCACCCCACCCCACTTTTGAGTCGACTCAAAAGCTCCACCCCACTCTTGCTTGGAACGGGTTTTCTAGGCGGGCGCCTCGACGAGTGTTCATGAGCGCCGTGCTGCAGACGCTGCTCACAGTCGACGGTACGCGCAACCCCAAAGTGCCCTCCACCCCAAAGCGCGCTCACTCTCAAAGCGCGCTGAACCTCCCCGCCTCCTCGCTGCTCTCGCGCTCCCATTGCTCTCCTTTTCACTCGCCCCCCTCTCCCTCTCCCATCCCGCCACTTCCTCTCCGCTCCTCTCCGTGCCCCTTCCCTCGTCAGAAACCCACTTTCTCCTCCCCTTCCCGTCCCTCGCCGTTTTGAGACTTCTAATCTCCCGCCTTTACCTCTCACCTCTTGCTGCCGTGCTCGTCTGTGCATCGCATGGCTGTCGTCTCCAGAGAAGAGCTACAGCCTCGACGCCGTGGTGTGGTGCTGCTCACGATGTCGCGGGTCGTAGAGAATTCTAACTAACTCCGTGCCTTGGTCTTTCACCCCTTGCTCCCTGCCTCCCTCCCTGCAGAGAAGAGCTACAGCTTCGACGCCGTGGTGCTGCTCATGATGTCGTGGGTCGACTCCAGAGGTCAGTCCTGCCGTGCCATTGGCATTACCATAGCCATCCCATGCCATTGCCATTGCCATTGCCATTGCCATTGCCACGCTATGCGACAAAATCGCCATCCCTGGTTACCCCCCCCCCCTCCCCCCCCCCCCCCGCATCCACGCCTCTCCCCGTTCCCCGTGTACCTTACCCTCGCGCCGTGTCTTCCTCCTTTCCTTCTCCCCTTCCATCGTCCCCCCCGTCCTCTCCCCGTTCCTCGCGCCTCCCAACTCCGCCCTCACACCCTTCCCCTTGCTCCCTCCCCGCCCTCCCCCCGCATTCTCCCGCCAGCGCCGCTCACCTGGCACGCCATCCGCGCAGTGCGCGACGCGCGCCTCGCGGAGCAGCAGCAGCGCATGGCGGAGTGCGCGCATCTGTCCGACCACCTCGCGGGGAAGACGCTTGGAGACGGGGGTCCGGGGAAGAACGGCGCAGCAGGGAAGCAGGGGCCAGGGGCGCTGGGGGCGGGGGGGGAGGACTTCCGCAAGGGGGGAATGCGTCGGGAACGGCAGCGGCGGGCGGGGCTAGTTCTGCGCCTCGTGCTGGCAATGCTACTGCTGTTAGCACCGCCGGCAACGGTAGCACCGCCGGCAACAGCAGCAGCGTCGGCAACGTTAGCAGCACGACCGGCGCTAGCACTGGTCTCGGCAGTGTCTCCCGCGTTTTGGCAGAGGCTGCAGCACCAGCGGCAGCGGCTGGCTCTGGGAACGGCACCGGCGGTGCTGCTTTCAACGGCAGCGGCAGTGCTGCTGGTGCTGGTGCTGCCAACGGCACAGCCGGGGCTGGGGCCGGCAGTGGTCCGCCGGCGCTTAACGGCAGCGGTCCAGGCCTGGGCCCGGGTAGCCGCGGCAAGGAGGGCGGTGGGCCGGGCCCCCGTGATCTGAACGCGTCTGCTGTCGCTGAGCTCTGTGAATCCGCCGTCACCAAGGTATATCTCGCCACCCGGCCCCTACTCTTCCACGAACCCTCCCTTCCTCCATTCCGCCCCACCCCCGCCGCCCCACCCCCCCGTTCTCTCCCCTCCGTTTTCTTTCCCCAATCCGCTTACTCTCACGTCCTCCCCCCTTTTGAGTCGACTCAAAAGCTTCCTCCCTCCTTCTTCATTCGCTCCTTCCTCCTTGCCCCCTTCCCCGCCCCCCTCCCCCCACCCCGCCCCCAGCCCGTGGCCCCGTGGCCCCTCCGTGCGGCACGCGGTGCGCGCCGGGGTCGGAGCTGTGGCCTCATAGCTACCCTCCTCCCCCGTTCCCCGTCCCCCCTGCTCCTTCCCCAACCCCCCTTCCCCCTCCCCCCGTCCCAGCCTGTGGCGCCCCCGTGCGGCAAGCGGTGCGCGCCGGGGTCGGATCTGTGCTGCGACGCGGTGTGGCTGCCGTCGTTCCACGTGCCCAACGTGAACGCGTACTCGCAGGACCGCTACATCACCGGTGCGCGCACCGCACGCACACACGCACGCACGCACGCACGCGCACGCCACGCGCATGCACGCACGCACGCTTGCATGGGGTGCGTGGGGTGTTTCCCCCCCCTCCACGCCCTCGCCACCCACCCCCCCCTCCCCCCCTCCCCCCTCCCCCTCTCCCGCTCTCTTTTGACTTTGGTGACTGTCACTAACACTCCCGCTCTTTCCCATCCCATGATCCACCTCAACCACCACCCCATCCCACCCCGTCCCACCCCACCACATGCATCCCATCCCTCCCCATCCCACCCCATGCACCACCCCATGCATCCCCCCCCCGCCCCACCCACCAGACGAGATCCAGCAGTTCGCGCCGCTCACCAGCCCGTCCATCGTGGGCCGTCAGGTCCGCGTGCAGGGTAAGCGGGGCGGGTGGGCTGTGGAGTGGGTAAGAGGGTGTGTCGGGTGGGTGAGGGGGTGGATGAGGGGGTGGGTGAGGGGGTGGGTGAGGGGGTGGGCGGGGTAAGGTTGACAGAGAGTCGTGCCGTGCCATGCCATGCCATGCCATGCCATGCATGCTGTCGCAATCAGCATGAGGAGCAACGGCTACAGGCACCTTGAGAATTCGCTTGGCTAGATGCAGCAGTCTGTAGGCGGGTTCCTCTGTGTGTGTGCGCGCGCACGTGTGTGTGTGTGCTGGAGCAGCAGTCTCCTTCACTCTCTGCATTCCGTCTCTCAATCCATCCCTTCCCGCTGAGCTGGTTTTTTTTCTTCTTCTTCATCCCAAGAACCACCCCCCTGTCCTGTGCACCGCGCCTCTTGTCTTGCAGGCACCTTTTCAACGGCCTTCAACTTCAAGCGATTCCCCTTCGACACTCAGGCAAGCACCCACCCCTCCTCTCCCCTGCCCTCCTCTCCCCTGCCCTCCTCTCCCCTGCCCTCCTCTCCCCTGCCCTCCTCTCCCCTGCCCTCCTCTCCCCTGCCCTCCCATGCCCTGCTGTCCCCTCACCTCCCACCTCTCCAATTGCCTATACTCTCACACACCCTCCCGTGCACTGCACCCCACTATCCCCCCATTTCGTTCTCACCTCCAGTGCTGAGAACCGCTGTTGCCTTCTTCTCTCTCTTTCTCCCAACCACTCCTTAATACCCCGGATCCCCTCCCCTCCCAGCCATTTTTCGTCTCCCCTCCCCCATTCCCGTCTCCCCTCCCCCCGCCAGTCCCTCACTCTCACGGTCACCCCAGCAGCGCTGGACTCCCCGCAGGCGGCGCGCTCCTGCTACTTCCTCGTGTCGTCACTAGTGGCCCGGGAGGGCGCCAGCGCCATGGCCATGGTTGCCAGTGGGGGGGACGGGGGCCCGGGCTTTCAGATGGTCCCCTGGTACCTGTGCCCCCAATCCCCTCCCCACCCCCCCCTTCCTGCCCCCTCGCCCCCAAACCCGGCCACCCCTCCTCCCCTCTCTCTCTGCTCTCTCTTATATCTCTCCCTGCTCTCTCTTCCTCCCCCTCCCCTCCCCCCGCCAGTCCTTGACTCTCACGGTCACCCCAGCAGCGTTCGACTCCCCTCAGGCAGCGCGCTCCTGCTACTTCCTCGTGTCGTCACTAGTCGCCCGGGAGGGCGCCAGCGCCATGGCCATGGTGGCCAGTGGGGGGGACGGGGGCCCGGGGGCGTACTCCACTGACGAGGTCACTGGGTGGTATACCACCAAGGTGGAGCTTAGTTGCACGGGCGATGGGATCCTGAATGGGAATGGCAGCAGCAGCAACAGCAGCAGCAGCAGCAGCAGCAGCAGCAGCGCAGGCAATGGTACTGATGCTTCAGCTGCTGCCGGCAGTGCGTACAACAGCTTTGCGGCCAACGGCAGCAGCAGCAGCAGCAGCAGCATTGGTGGTGGTGGTGGTGTGGATGCGAGTAGCAGCAGTGCAAACGGCAGCTCTGATGCGTCTGCCGCGACAGCAGGTGCTGCTGCCGATGGCAGTACCCAGAGCGGCGGCGCTGCTGCTGCTCCTGGCCGCGCTAGCATTGATAGCATTGATAACGATGGCAGCGGTGGCAGTATTGGCGGTAGCAGTGGTGGTGGATGGAGCAGTGACGGTGGTGATCCCAGGAAGGATAGCAAGCTGCAGAACTTCAACCCATGTGCGTACCCTGTGAGCAGCATGTGCGTACCCTGTCTCTCATGCCTGTCTCTCATGCCTGTCTCTCATGCCTGCCTCTCATGCCTGCCTCGCTTGCCTCTCCTCCCCTTCCATCTCTCCTTCCCCCCCCTCTCAGACGGCCCTGTGAGCAGCATAGTGGATGCGGCCAGGTCCCCTTTGGGGGCTTCTAGAGCGATGTCATAGCTATTCTAAAACTGACTCCTCCCCTTCCATCTCTCCTTCCCCCCATCCCCATCCCCATCCCCATCCCCATCCCCATCCCCATCCCCATCCCCATCCCCATCCCCATCCCCATCCCCATGCCCGTCCCCCTCCCCATCCCCCTCCCCCTCTCAGACGACCCTGTGAACAGCATAGTGGATGCAGCCCGGTCCGCCAAGGACAGCGGGCACCAGCAGCCACCGCAGCAGCAGCAGCCGGGGGGGGGTGGTCAGGAGGGGGATCAAGTGCTCAAGGGGGGGGGGATGGCGGACGCACCCTTCACGTCCACCACTGCCCCCAGTGATGGTACTGGGTTGGAGGGGGCAGGCGCGGATATGGGCATGGGCGTGGGGGGCCGGTATGCGTCGACATGCACGCTGACCATCCACGTGGAGCGCTACAGCTATTACTACCTCTGGACGGTGCGTGCGCATGGATGGGTGGGTGGTTGGGTGGTGGGATTGAGGGGTGCGTGCGTGTGCATGGGCTTGGGTTTGGGGAGGAGTGTTGAAGTGCACACAGCACGCTGACCGACCACGTGGAGCGCTACAGCTACTACTACCTCTGGACGGTGCGTGTGTGTGGGAATGGTTGCTTACGGTGTGTCTGGCCTTTCCAGCGTTCTTCCCATTGCCGCTCTTTCGTTTCTCTCACCGACACCCACCCTCCCCCCCCTCCCCTCCCCCCCCCCCCCCTCCCATGATGATCACGGTGTGCCTGGCCTTCCTGGTCTTCCTGGTCTTCCTGGTCATCCTGGTCTTCCTGGTCTTCCTGATCTTCCTGGTCTTCCCGGTCTTCCTCCCTTCTCCTCCTCCCACCCATTCCCACTCCCTCCCCTCCCCTCGTTTCCCTGCACCTCCTCACCCCTCCCCCTCTCCCTCACCCCCCGCACCCCCGCAGATCATTGTCCTTTGTTTAGAATTCTCCAAGACGATAATTACGGTGTGCCTGGCCTTAGCGGTGTTCTTCCCTTCTCCCCCTCCTCACCCCTCCCCTCTCCCCCCCGGCAGATCATTTTCCCCACGATGATCACGGTGTGCCTGGCGTTTGCGGTGTTCTTTGCGACGCCCACGCAGCTGGACATCCGAGTGAGCACCACTGTCACGCTCTTCCTCGCGCTCATCGCCGTGCAGTTCGTCATTGAGGAGCAGGTGGGTGGTGGTGGTGGTGGTGGTGGTGGTGGGTGGGTGGGGGTTGGGTGGGAAGGGGAGGGGGTGTGACGTGTATGTATGTCAGCTAGGGACACCTCGTGTCTCGCTCTTCCTCGCGCTCATCGCTGTGCAGTTCGTCATCAGGAAGCAGGTGGGCGGGCCGTGATGTCATGGGGTTCATGGTTCAGCATCAACTCTGCATCGGTTTTCACGTGTGGTGTGTGGGTGTGTGATGCGGGGTGCACAGTGTTCCCTGCCCCGCCCACTGTGCCGCTCTTCCTTGCGCTCATCACCGTGCTGTTCGTCCTCATTGAGAAGCAGGTGGCTGGGGTGTGGCTGTGGTTGTGGCTGTGGATGTCGTTTCTGATTCTTCTTCTCTCTCCCTGTGTGCCCCGCCCCCCTGTGTGCCCCACGTGCAGCTGCCCAAGACGTCGTATGTGACGGCGTTCGGGCAGCTGGTGCTGGTGTCATACGCCACCATCGTGCTCATCATCCTCGAGTGCCTCTTTGTCTTCTACCTCACCTCCATGGTATGCGGCCGCTCTCCTGCACATGCCCATTCACATGCGCATGCACAAGCGCATGCACATGCACATGCACGTTCATATGCACGTTCACATGCCCATACACGTGCCCATTCCCATGCCCATGCCCATGCCCATGCCCATGCCCATGCCCATGCCCGTGCCGATGATAGACATGTTTGCTATACCTCTTTCACCCCTTGCCTTCTTTAACCTGCTTGTTACATTCCTGCTCTGCTTCCTTTGCTTCCCGTGGGTGTCTCCTCCTCGCACAGCAACTCCCCCTTCCCTCTCTCGCTCTCCCCCTGTCTCCTCCTTCCCCTTCTCCTTCTCTTTCTCTCCCTCACATCCACCCTATCAGGAGGAGGTTCGTTTCCTGCAGGGCAAGCTGCCCCCTGCGGATGACAACGCTGATGACGATGACGATGATGGTGGTGGTGGTAGTGGCGCCCTGGGCCATCGCACCTGCAGGCGCAAGAGCAGCACCTTTAACGATGACGACATCGACGATGACGATGATGGCGGTTCTTTCCAGAATTACAGCAGCAGCAATAACGGCTTCAGCGATTTCAGCTACGGGTATTCCTCCCACCCCAACCAACCCCACCACCCCCACCACCTCCACCACACCCAGCGGCACCGCCACAGCCCCGCCCCCCGCGTCTCCTCCTCGCGCTCGCTCCGTGCCATTCGAACCTCCTCCTCCTCCGTCTCCTCCCCCGCCCGCTCCTCGTCCCGCTTCGCCCCTCGCCACTCCAACCGCACGTCTGCCGCGGCTGCGGCTGTTGCCTCTCTGGGTGCGTCGCTGTGCTGCGGTGGTGGCTGCTGCAACACGCCGAATACTTGCAGCCGCCCCTCCTCCTCCCGCGCCCTCCTGGACCCTGCTGGCTCTGGGAAGGAAGACAGGTGTGAATGCTCTCCCCCGGCTGATGCTGCTGCTGCTGCCGCTGCTGCTGCTGCTGGCAGTGCTAGTCTTGGCGTTTTATCTCTTGAGCCATCTGCCCCTCCGTCTAACTACTTCCGTACGGAGGCGCGCTGTAAAGGGGACGGCGGCATGGGCGGCAACAGCAACAGCAGCAGCGGCAGCAGCAGTGGCGACGACTCGGGTGATGAGGAGGACAATGAGTACATGGACGGGGACCCCATGGCGCAGGTGGTGGATGAGGAGGCCAGAGCGCGCGCAGCCAGAAAGGCAGCAGTGCTCTGGACAGTTGAGCCGGCCCCTGGGTCCATGCGGAAAGAGGGAGGAGACCTGGAAGCCGGGTTGGACGGGAGGGGGGACAGGAGGGGGGATGGGAGGGAGGGAGTCGGTGGCATGAGTGTAGGTGTTTCCACAGCCAGGGACTTTTATACTGGAGCTGGGGCTGCTGCTGGGACCTCTGGTGGCCAGCGGGGGATCGAGATGGTAAGCCGTTTCTTTGGTCCCGGCCACGTTATCTTGAGCTTCGTTTCAGTCTGCTTTTATGTCCCTTCAGTTGTGTATTATTAACACATATATGTATAACACATATATGTCTTATTAACCTGTTTCCGTATTCGCTTCTCCTCGTGCCTGTCCATCTCTTCCCCTATGCCAGGTGAGCCAGCCACACCACCACCAGCCACCTCTTGCACTACTTGCAACCCCTAGCAGCCACCACCATCTCCACCAGCTGCCCCGCAACCTCAGTGCCCGCAAGGTGAGCGGCAATGCAACCAGCGGCGGTGGCGGCGGCAGCAGCATCAACACAGAAAACAACAACACTGGCAGCAGCAGGTGCAGCAGCTTCCGGCAATTCTCCCTCTCCCTCTCCTCACCCTTCTCCTCGTTCAGTTTCGCCCAGCCTCTGCTGAAGGCAGCCCCATCTCTCCGCCGCGCGGTTACCACTTCAGTGAAGACCATCCGGTCGCACAAGCAATACTTGGGGAAGAATGCTGCTGCTGCGTATCGGCTCGCTAGCCGGATCGACAGCATTGCGCTCCCGGTCATGTTCTTTTTGTATATTCTCTCCGCCGTGCTCATTTTCAGCTTGGCTTGAGTCTTGTTACCATAATTTATGTGTTGAAGGATATTCGTTCTGCGCTCTTGCCTTCCCCCTCCCCACTGGCGAATCGTGGTTTTCGCCTGGTGATGAAAATTGAATCTTTACTCGAGATAGTGCATTTTATGCAGGTTCAACATGTTTGTTGTTCATTTCACACATTTTATATACTTATTGGGTGGATCTTAATCATCCTCACTCATAATGTCACCTACTAAAACGTACTTTTGGCCTTCACCATCGATGGTAGTCAGAATGATTCTCTTATCGAAAGCGCCGACAAAAGTTCTTGTTGGAGCTGCCTGCGCTCATGGTGGTGGTTTGCGCATCAGACAAGTTTTCGCCTCTGTGTGCCTTCCTGCCAGCCTGGCACACAAGTTCGCTGGATGCAACCAGGGCTCTCGCTAGGTTTTTCGCCATCTCGGACAATCCGGGGCCCTCGGAAAATCGCCCTGTAAATTTCGACTTCGTCAGAAATTTTCCCTGAGTCTTCAGGGTCCGTGCTAAAAAACCGTCTTTGCTGGACAGGATAGTGAGGGTGCCAGTACCTATGCTACAGATGAATCACGCACGTGAAGGTGCTATATTTAGGCTAGGGGGGCTGAGAAGAAAGGGGGTTTGGTGGAGGGATGGGGCGAGTTTGAGTGGCGTGAACAATTGTTCCCGGCAGCTCATTTTAAAACCAACCGCTAAACTAAGGGAAAATGGGAAGAGCAGACATGGGCAAGGGTGAAAGGGAAGAACGGGAAGTTTGACAGATTCCTACACCCCCTGGAGGCTAACTAGATGTCCGGCCCCCCTCAAAACCGCCCCGGACCTCTACGGGTCAGTAGATAAATCCCCCTGATTCTCTCAGGACTGGCTTTTAAAAAGTCCTGAAAACTACAGGGTCGGCCTAAACAAACTTTGGAGTTTCAGTCAAGTCAGGGTAACTACCATGATAACATCTGCCCTGGATGCAACATCCGAGGGTTTGGTTTGGAGTGTGTTGCTCGGATCGAAAAGCCCTCCAAAATACAGAAGTTATGTTGACAATGTGCTTGGCAAAACGCAGCTCGTTCATTTTCCACGCTGGGTGTGGGACCACAGCAGTAAAATCCTTGCTGGCTCAGTGCTGGTGGAACTCAGCACATTGCTGGCTTTAGGGGGATGCTGGGCCAAACCCTGTACTGTATGCACTTTCACTGCAGGGTGGATACCCTACACAGGCTTCTGCAGTGCTGCGTCGCGGCGGGCTCGATTCTCGAAAACCTTTTTCGGAAGGCGTGACGTGGAAGCTTCACGAGAAGAGCATCGAAGCAGACACTGTACACCGCTGGCTGACGAAGTGCCGGGCGAAAAGCTCCCCTCCCACACTGTTGTCCAGGCAAGCGTAGGGGAGTGCCGTGGAACCCCAAGCCCGTGTACTTTGACGGTCGAGATGCACCCACGTCGATCCTCGATTCCCTCGGTTTTCGCGCCACTTTTACGATGACGAATCGCGGCAACTTCTGTAGGGGGGCGGTTAGCGGCTTCAGGGCAGAATCTGGGGCTCTGGGAGGGACAGGTCACGATTGGCGGTGAGACAAGGGAGCCTTGTGCTGCACGACAGCAGCGATCCATTCCCTCGGGTTCATCATCCCTCCTCGCTCCGATGAGAGCAGGCTGTGTGAGGCTGGGCTGGTTGCTTCGGCTTGGCCCGCTTGCTGGGGCGAGGCGAGTAAGGGAGGAAGGGAGGGAGAAAATTGGCATGGCATGACATGGCATGGCATGGTACGGCACCATGGCAGGACCCCCTCTCTCTCGCGCACCACTAGCGCTTCAAGAATGATGGATGCCCCGCGGGCGATGGTGATGATGATGAGCGAAGCACAGCACATCCCTCAGGATTGGTTTGGTTGAGTTACCAGGGCAGGCCATGGTGGTGGTGTCTCTTCGACGGGCCACCCTCCAACCAAACTTCCCTGACTTTCGCCAGCCCGCCTCTCCTCTCCATCCTGCTGGCGTTCATGCTCCTGCGCTCCAAACTCAAGCACATCCCAGGGCTCGTCATAGGCCCATAATACGGCCCTACCCTGCCTGCGTCGCTTCTGTTAGCCGTCAGAACTTCTGTCGAGCGAACCTCCGCCGCTCTTCACCGTGCCGTAGGCAGTGTGACAAACAACATCCCCCACTCTCCATCTGTACGAGCCGAACCAGTTATCTTTCAGCCCGTTCCTTACCTCATCCCTCCCTCGCTCCAGATTCACATCAACCTCTGCTCCCCGATCTATTCGGTCGATCGACTCACCGCACCCTCCCGCTCTTCGTGCTATCCTGATTTAGCGTCCCATCAGACTTTAGACCCTCTCCGCTTGCGAATCGCAACCACGAATCAAGCTTCCCGCTCTTCGATAACGAGTCAAACTTGCATGGATTACGTCCCGTCCCGTCCCGTCCCATCCATCACGATCCGAGCAAGTCTCTCGCAATCGGTTGACGACGCACGGCGGGAGGGATCTATCGTCAGAATTGTACGCGAATAAATCACGACCGACACGGTATCCCGCCAATCTCGCCTAGAATTGTTCTTAGCCTCCTCGCGTCGTCGTCGGAGGTTCCGAGGGCCCCGCGTCAGCCTGATGGATGCACCTCGCATCCCGCCGTGCGTTTAGGCCCGAGATCCACAACCCCCTCTCTCTTGTCGAGCCGATCAATCATCTCTCGGGATCGTTCCTGAGGAAAAGAGCCTCTCTCGCTCACATCCTCGTGTTTCCGTGTGTCTCCGTGTGCCTCCGCTTCCCCTGATCTGCAGCTCCTCGCCACACCCCCGCTTCCCCGTTCGAACTCCCTCTCCGTCCCTTCTATCCCGTCTTGCACCCTCTTTTTCCCACCCTCGCGTCGCTTCTCACTCGCCAGTTCACCAGTCAGTCTCCTCGCTCTTGATCCGAGAAGAAAATTAGACGCAGGAGCTCTCAGCGTCCGTGTCTCCTCGCTTCCGCCTCCCGGCTCTTTCCACCACCGCTAGTACTGGTAGTAATCACCGCGGACGATGTTACCTCGCAGCGCTCGGCCTCGGAGGCATGGCAAGTTCGCTGCTCCACGTGGCCCCGCGTGAAGCCGCCGCCAGGATAGGAGCCTGCGCCGCCGCCTCTGGATCGACGACGACGACGACGGGAGCGCCGCTGCGTGCCGCGGAGCAAGTGGAATTCTCCTCTCGCTCCAAGAGCGCCGACAAGAGCGCCGCTTTGCTGGGACACGCCGTGGCTGCGGGAGCGACCGCATCGGGGGGAGCAGCAGTAGCAGCGGTGGCAGCAACCGCGACGTCCTCCGGATTTTCTGGGAGCCGAATCTTCTTAGGGAGTAGTGGATTAGGCTATAGCACAAGCGGCGCCGTTAACGCCGGGAGCAACATCTACAGCAACAGCAGTAGTACTAACTCCTCTCTTTCTGTGAGTCAGGGAGTCGATGCGTCGAGCGCCGATTGTGGCGAATTGGTCTTGGGCCCTTCAACCACCGTGACAGCGTCGTCGACACAAGAGCAGCAGCAGCAGCAGCAGCAGCAACAGCGACGGGAGCGTGACTTGTACGACACGGCAAGGCCGATCTTACGGAAGAGTGGCGCCGTGGCGCCAGAATTGCCAGATCTTGGCACGGTAATGATGCTGGGCGGAGGTGGGTCTGGAGCAGGTGGTTCCGGTACTGGCGGCAGCAGCAGCAGTAACCAAGGGCAATTACAGGCGACTGCGCCCAGCAATCGCGGCGTCACCAGCCCGGAACCCGCGAAACCGTTTCAGCCTTCCAGCCTGGAGGCGTCTGCGGCGTCTGCGTCGTCGGCGTCGTCGGCGAAATCGTCGCCAGATGCCGGATCTACGACTCGAACGACGGCTTCTTCTACCGCCGCCGCAGCAGCATCAGCTTCAGCTGCTTCAGCAGCGGCAGCAGCAGTTGTACAAGACGTGGGGGAGCGTGACGGTGACTATGAGCGGCACATGGTGCGTGTTTGGGGTTCGGAATTATTTCCTATCTCTTCTTGCGAACGCTGCTGCTGACGCCTTTACCCAGCTCTCTAGCTTCTCGCTCTTTTCGCCTTTCCAAGGTTTCACGTGACGTGATATTGATCGATGGTATTTCGTCTTGCTTCTGATCTTGATTCCCGTTGTCAACGAGCCTCTCTTCTCGGCCCCCTATCCCTCTCTCTCTCCCTGTGTCTCTCCTTTCTCCGTTCTACTCTCGTGCGTTGACAAGCACAGGCCGCCGGTCCGCAGGACGTGGAGCAAACGGTGACGTGGCAGTTGGAGCGGCTGGATCTGGGATCGGATCTGGGATCGGATCTCAGATCTCGATTCGCCCATTGCTCCGCCGCAGCAGCCTCGTCCTCCCCCTCTCCGTCCCTCGCCCACTCTCACTCCCTCTATCTGCCCATGCCCACGGGTCCCTCCTACGCTGTGCCCCATGGTATGACCGAGAGCGCCGGTTTTGGGGCCGCTTTTGCAGGCAATCTTGGGGGTTTTGGGAGTGGGTTGGAGGCCAAGGAAGGGTTTGTGGGGGGGAGGGGTATGCGGGGAGGTGGAAGCGGAACGAGGGGGGAGTTTGGGGAGGCATGGCTTGGCGGATTGCGCACAGAGACAGTTGGCAGTAGCGGTGGCCGGCTGGAAGGTGGGGGGAGGTTCTTGGAAGGTGAGGAGGGCGGCTTCTTTGCTCCCACGAACAGTAGAAGGATGATGAGCGATGTTGGCGTTGGCGCTGGTGCTGCTGGTGTTGGTGCTGGTGTTGGCACCATTGATGCTGCTGGCGTGGATGTTGGAGGCCGGGGGCGTGGATTCTCTTCAGGAGCTGACGTGTTTGATTGGCCTGGTAAGCTGGACAAGCTCAGCGCGTACGGGAGCAGGCCCGGTGGTTCTGCCCTTGGATCGTCTTCATTCTCTTACCCATTTTCCACTTCTGCTGCTGCTGCTGCTGCTGCTGGCGCTGGTGCTGCTGGTGCTGCTGGTGCTGCTGGTGCTGCTGGTGCTGGAGAGCGGTCAGCGTCCAGGCTGGCTTCCTTGATGGGATCTGACATGAGCTCACGAGCTGCAGGTTTCCTCCAGCAGCAGGCGGCGGAGGAGCAGCAGCAGCAGCAGCAGCAGCACCTGCAACAGCAGAAACAGTTGCAGCAGCAGCAGCGGCAGCAGCAGCAGCCTCCGCTGTCGCTGCAGCACCAGTGGCAGCAGGCACAGCAGGACACAACATCGCAGTCACTACAGGACCAGCCGCCGCTAGACGCAGCACAGGCGCAGGCGCAGGCGCAAGGGCAAGCGCAGGGGCCAGGGGGCAGAGCAGCAGCTGCGCCGGGGGGGCAGCAGCAGCAGCCGGAGAACCGGCGGCGCTTGGCGCGGGGCCCTCGCAGCGACGGGTCCGTGGATCTGGAGCCCATGTACACAGAGGACCACCGGGTACTCAAAGTGGAGCGGTCGGAGGACGGCCGAGAGGCGTACGTGTGGGTGACGCTGCTCGCCGCTGGGTTTGTGATTGGCTCATCGGGCGCCGCTGCGCGGCAGATCGGGCACGTGACGGGGGCGATCGTGCAGTCGTGGACGGAGGCCGCTAGCGGGATCGAGGGCATGGAAGGCGAGGAGATCCGACGGTTCAGGATCCAGGGGAAGAAGGAGAAGGTGGAAAGGGTGATCAATCTGATTCATGACGCAGTAGATAAGTATAAGGAGCTGTGTGAGAGGAAGAGGGAGGGGCAGTTTGTTCTTAGGGAGCATAGGATCGATGGCGTGGATTTCCAGTACCAGCCTCCGCCTAGGAAGGCGCTGCAGAATAGGGGCATGCCTGGGGGCGGTGGGGGCGGTGGGGCGTCTAGGAGTCCCCCGGAGGGAGGAGGTGGCGGCGGCGGTGGTATGGGTATGGGAATGGGCAGGGGGGGAGGGGGAGGGGGGAGGGGAGCGGAAGGTGCTGAGATGCGGGCACAGCTGTTGGCGAGTGTGGTGGAGGGGCGTATGATGGGCCGGCGCGGGCCGATGGGGGGGGGTATGGGGGGGTTGGATGAGGCGAGTTTGCTAGATCTGAAGCAGCAGATGTACTATGAGCGCCTGGAGGAGCGGACGCTGTTCCTGCTGTGGCAGCTGCAGCAGCAGAAGCTGCAGGCAGAGAGGCAGCAGCAGGAGCAGCAGCAGCAGCTGAGCCACCAGCAGCAGCAGATCTGGCAGAACCTGAGGCAGAGAGGAGAGGGAGAGGCCTTCCGGGAAGGTGCGGTGAGTAGCAGCTTTGGCATGGGCATGGGGGGTGTGGGAGGTATGGGTGGAATGGGTGGGGGTCCCATGGGGCTTATGGGCCCTGTCAGGGGGGAGATGGTGGGTGCTGGCATGGAGACAGGGACAGGAATAGAACAGGGCATGGGCATGGGGGTGGGTCTTCCAGGAGGAGGGAGGGGGAGGTGGGAAGACGTGGGGCGGTTGAGGGGCGAGGAGGAAGCGAGGGGGTTTGGAGGGGGGGAAGTGAGGGGGCCGAATATGTATGGGGAGGGAGGGAGAGGGCAGGTGGAGGAGGATAGGAAGGCGGTTGCGGTGAGGGAGGCGATGAGAGAGAAGGTTAGGAAGGCCATTGAGGAAAGGATGGTTGGGGTGGGAGTTGTAGGGGATCCGAGTGCTCCTGCTGCTGCTTCTGGTGGCGGTGGTGGTGGTGGCAGCGGCGGTGGTGGTGGTGGTGGGCAAATGGGGCAGTGGGCACGCAGCATGCTTGAGCAAGAGTTACTGGAGAATTGGCTTGAACAACAGCAGCAGCAGCAGCAGCAGCAGCAGCAGCAGCAGCAGCAGCAGCAACTGCAGCACCAGCAGCATCAGCAACAGCAGCTGCAGCACCAACGGCAGCAACAGCAACAGCAGCTGCTGCTGCTGCAGCAGCATCAGCGCGTTTCACCCCTTCCTAACCATGCGAGCGGGCGGAATGACAGCCCGCACCATCACCACCTGCATCAATACCCCATGCCTCCTTCCCACCCATCCCACCCTCCCTTGGGCCTGTCCATGCAACCCCCTGCGCCAAGCATGGGTCCAGGCGTTGCTGCTGGCAGGGCGCATCACGCCCCTCCTCCGTTTCAAAGCAGGCACTTGTCCCTTGAAGGAATGGTGTCTGGTAAGCTTTACTGACCACTCACGGAACCAAGTATTGCTTGAAGGATCTCGCGTCTTCCTCTGTTGTTTGCTTCTTTTTCCTTCCACGTGTTCCGCACTATGATCAAGTTCCCCTGCCGCAACTCTTCCTCGCCTGCCGTTTTTCCCCATACCTCCCCGTCTGCCTTCCCCTTCCCCTCCCCACTCCTCCAGCCTCACCCACCACCTCGCCTGCCCCGCCTCTCTCCCTACCGCACAACCCTTCATTCATCGACGGCTCAGCAGCAATGCTGGGTTGCCCCTGCCGCCCCTCCTCTGTGTGGACGGCAGCGCTGCAAGCAGGTCAACCACTCGCCCATGCTCCCAGCTGCCCTCGAGCAGCAGCAGTAGCAGCAGCAGCAGCACCCGGGGCAGCAGCAGTAGCAGCAGCGGCAGCGGCAGCTGCTGCTGGTGTAGGGATGTCTGCTCCTGGGGGTCCTAGGCCGTTTGCGGCTCTGCCTGGCAGCAGCAGCAGTGGGAGCAGTAGCAGCGGCGCCGGCGCCAGCGGCGTTGGCGGCAGCAGCAGCAGCAGTGGGATTGGGAGCGGGAGTACGGGAAGCAGTGTGGGATCAGGGGGCAGTGGCAGCAGCAGCAAGAATAACAGCCCCAGCACGACTGGAAGCAATGGGCTGGGCAGCAGCAGTGCTGCTGGTACTGCTGGAGCTGCTGGTACTGCTGCTGCTGCAACGGCTGTGGCCATGAGTGGGGGTCTTACCTGTGTGGTGTGCCATGAGCTGCCTGTCGCCTTCAAGCTTCTGGTATGCCTGCTGGATCCTGTTTGTTTGTTTTTCTTTTCTTTTATTTTTCCTTGTTTTTGGAGTACCTTTGTGTTCTGAGTGTTGGTTTGGTCTTTTGTTGCTGCAGAATCTTTGCCAACGTCTTGCTTGTTTCTTGTGGTTTCTAGTGGGGTTGCTATTCTAATCAGCATCCCTTACCTGTCATTCTTTTTCGCCTTTATTTTTTGCAGCCATGTCATCATGCTGTGCTGTGCCAAGTGTGCACCAACTTCGTTGCCACGTGTCCCGTCTGTGGCATGCCACCTCAGCGAACAGTATCCATATACGACGCACCCTCTGAGCCGCCCCACTCTCGCTTTGCCTTCGCCAGCGTACCCCCCAACCCATCTGCCCCCCTCTCCATGCACTCCTCCCTCTCACTTCCTTCCGCCCATCCACACTCACACTCGCACTCTCTCATGCTCCAATCGGGTGCTCTTCACGGGGGAGGAGGAGGTGGAGGAGGAGGAGGAGGAGGAGGAGGAGGGGGTGGGTCAGGAGAAGACAGCTTGAGATTCGGGCCTCACGGTATGGGGAGTGCGTTCCAAGGCTCTGGCTCCATGGCTGCTCCGTCTGCTGCAGCATACACAGCAGCAGCAGAGCGTGCTGCTTGTGCTGATGCTGCTGCGCCCACCATGCCTTCGGCCATGCCGCCTGGGCCCGCGTCTGCTGCTCCCTCTTCTGCAGCAGGCCCGCATGGCACGTGGCCGGGTGTCAACTGGCAGCACATGGGAGGGGGAGGAGGGAGTGAGGGGCACCGCCTGCAATGACCTGACAGTAGCAATTTATGCGCCTCAGCTGCAGCAGCAGCAGCAGCAGCAGGAGCAGACGCAGAAGCAGCAGCGGCAGCAGCAGGAGTAGGAGTAGCAGCAGCAGTAGCCGCCATAGCTATAACATGATCGGCCGCAGCGAAGTCTGACATTTGACCTGAAGTATAGGCAGCCAGGGGCAGCAGACAGGCAGGCAGCAGGGTGGCAGCGGCGTGGGTGCGGGCAGCTGTTAGTAGCGCCTGTGGGTAGCTGATATATCCGTAGCGAGTGGGACAGTGGGGCCTAGCCTAACCACTGGTAACAGCACTGAACAGGGCGTGGTGGGTGGGAGCACATGGCCCTGTGGTCGTCGTTGGTAATGCCTTGGACCAGGGTGGAAGGGATTGGAGATGTGTGGGATATGGTGCAAGAGGTTTGTTGCGCAGGAGTCGTTGGGAAGGGGGTGGAGAGAAGGGGGGAGGTGGGTGAAGGGGGTGGAGGGAGGAGGTGAAAAGGGGGGGAGGGGGTGGGGAGAACTGGTGGGCTGAGGGGGGCAAGTGTGGGGTGGAGTGAAGAAGGGGGAAAGGAGTCTGATGAATAGTATTGTCTATGGGCGGGCGTTGATTGCTGGTTTGGACAGTCTCACGAGTGTTTTGTGTTGGTGCACATGTGTGTGGGCGTCACTCAGTGCGTTTTTCTGTGTGGCACTTTGTGCCGTGTGATGTTACAGCATGTGTGCATGTGCGTGTGTGTGAAGTTTCAGCATGTGTGCGAGCGTGTGTGTGTGAAGTTTCACCAAGAGTTTCCCTGTGTTTCCCCACAACCTGCTCATTTCCCCATGCATGTGCTGGTGCAGGCATGGACTGGCTCTGCACTTGTTCTGCACTGTCGTTGGTTCATTGTTGTGTGTTGCAATAGAGAGTTGTTGAGAGGGGCTTGCTGTTTTGTGGCTTGCAGGTCGGTTTGTGGTTGGTCTCTTGGTCTCGTGGCTTTTGGCCTGGGAGCAGAGGAGTGAGACGAGGAGGGAATGGGAGTCCTATGGGGGGTGTTCCTCATGCATGTTGGTGGGGGGAAGGGTGGGGGTGTGGTGGGGGGGTGGGGGGGGAGGGGGAGAAGCAGGTTGAGTGAGAGGATAGTGGTCGGAGGTGTTTGACATGTCAAGAGGTGTTGGGAGGCCTTTCAGTGCTCTGTGGTTGCTTGGTGGCCAATTGTAGTGGAATGGTCGGTTCGTTGAGTGCCAGCCAGCCTTCCTCCTCGTCACATCCATCTCAGCAGCATTGTCACCTTATTTCACATTATTCATTGCTATTTGACATGGGCGCTGACATCACCATCAGCAGCAACATAGGTGCTAGCAGCGTCTCCAAGCTGTTGGCAACGAGTGGCTAGTTCCCTAGCCCTAGCGCCGAGCACCACTTCGGAGCTTGCTTGTCTGATTGGCCTGGTGCCATTGATTGTATCAGAATGCCTTGTGGGTGGGACACTTGGGATGCAGTACTCTGCTGGTGAAGAGATGGTTATGGTTATTAATTGATAGGTTGGTTGCTGATGTAGAGTTTGTCTTTAGTGCTGTTGTCATGTTTTGTTGTGCATTGAGAAGAGTGGCTGGTCTTATTTTGTATGGCATTATTACCTCGCTTAGCGTCTCATGATTGCTTAACGGTCTCAAAACACAATCGTTTGGATCTGACCGATTTTTGAACTGACCAAGGTGTGCCCGTTATGGTAACGGATCTTATACCGAGGATGACTTGCCCCTAAGATCTTTACATGCGATCTCGCTGATGCTTGCCCTTCCGCCGAGATCAGTGAACGATTGGAGGCGACGTCACGAGACGTCGTTCTGCGCCTCGACGACAGTCGCGAAGGCAACCTCCAGTTTCGCAACCAACGAGTAACCTCAGACTGACCTCCATCTATCCCAGCTCGTTCCTGAAACAGTTTCAAGTTTCACCACTCAAAATTGTACGGCAGTGTCCCTAAAATAGTACGGTGCCAGCGAGCAGCCATTCGTAATTTCCTTCCCAATGGTCATTGGTATACTGTAATGTGTTTCACACAGGTGTAGCGATCTGTTCTGATCTGACCTCACCTTTTTCTTCGTCCCACACTGCTGCCAAGACTCCGGAGCGGAGTAGCTTGGCAGCTGTAGCAGCTGTAACAGCAATAGAAGCCATAGAAGCAATAGAAGCAACCAGTGACGAGCCCTTATCCCCCTCGGTCTCCAGCACGCATTCCTGAGCGATCCCCCGACGCTGCGAATCCTTCTCGCGCCGATCGAGGGTTCGGTCTGGTTCGGTTCGGCTCGGTTGCGCGCGATGGCGTCGTCGTTGAAGCTGCGTCGCGCGGGCGTGGTGCGCTGCCCGGTGGGCATCGTCGCGCTCATGTGCGTCGCGGCGTTCTTTCTCGGCGGATTCTACGGCAGCGGCCTCTTCGGGGTACTCCACGCCACGCGATATGCGGCACGATCTGCAACGCGATTTACGGGATATACGCGATATAGTCCCTCTCCGAGCGTGTTCCTCCTCGTCGGAGTCATCGGAGTCCTGCTTTTTACTTCTGCTTGTAGTACGCATCTTCGGAGTGTGATGGTGTGAGGCGCTCCGAGCCGCCTAAAAAGTGATGCGTTACACCACTAAGCGGAGCGCGTGGTTACCAGATTGGAAGGGAGGGAGGGATAGTGGATGGACAAAAGACGGGGTGCTCTTCCCGCCCCTTCTCTTCCCTTTCTCCTCGCTCATCTCCCCTCTTCCCCTCTCCCCCTCTCCTCCCCCACCCCACCCACCCCCCCCCCCCCCAACACCCCCCGCTCCCCCTCCCCCTCCCCCTCTTCCCCTTCCCCTCTTCTCCAGCGCGTGCCCGATCTCAAGGCGCCAGCGAGAGCCGTCCCCGCGTCCTTCACCAACCCCTCTCACCGCGGAATGCGCCTGGAGCGCGCAGGGGACCGCCGCGGGAGCCTGGACGGTGGAGCGGAAGGGGAGGGGGAGGGGGAGGGGGAGGGGGGGAGCGCGGAGGGGGGTCAGGGGTGGCCGGCTTTTGATCATGGCAAGACGGGGGAGAGTAGTGTGTCCACTGTGCCGTTCCAGGTGGGTGGGTGGGTAAGTGGGTGGGGGATTGATATGACAGAAAGGGTTGGTGAGTCAGGAAGGAATGTGGGGAGGGGGGGGAAAGGGGAGGGGAGGGAAGGGGAGAGTAGTATATCCACTGTGCCGTTTCAGGTGGGTCGGGTTGCAAGGGTCAGGGGTGGGTGGCTGTGCTGACATGACAGAAAGGGTCGTGTTGGGGTGAAAGTGGGTGGCGGAAGGAAGGAGAGGAATGGGGGGGGAAGAGAGGAGGAGTGGGGAAGGTTGGTTAGGAGAGAGGAGAGGAGAGGATGGCAAGCTGACAGTGACAGGATCGACGCTATTGTCCGTTTCTGGTCCATTCAATGCCCTCTAAATCTTCCTCTCCTGCTCCGTTCTCTCCCCTTTTCTTTCCCCAGAACTTCCCTCGTCCATGACCACATGTACCCATTTCCCCCCCAGCCATGCCTTTTGAGTCGACTCAAAAATTTACCCCCGCGCCATGCGCAGATGATATCATGGCATCCGCGCGCCTACGTGTTCCCCCGCTTTGCGCCGCGCCATGTGTGCGAGAACGTTCTTGCAGCCGCCTCCAAGCGCATGTCCCCGTCCGGGCTGGCTCTCCGGCCGGGAGAGAGTGAGGATGGCACCCGGGATATCCGCACTAGGTAAGGGGGGAACTGCTCTAATGATGGTTTTTTTTTTTTTTTTTTTTTTTTTTTTTTTTTTTTTTCTATGGGGGAAGTGCTGGTATGGTGAGTACACACGAGGCAATGGGCCATGTGAAACATCGAATTTTTTTGCTGCAATATGTGTGCATGGGTGTGACATTCGTCTTCCCCTCTTTCCTCTTTTGTCTGCGTGATCTTCTTTTCTCGCTGCAACCTTCCTCCACACATTCAGCTCAGGGACTTTTCTCTCAGCCAATATGGACCCGTCGGGCTCTCTTGCTTGGGTGGAGCGCAAAATGGCAGCAGTCACGGGCCTTCCCGTCAACCATGGCGAGGTGAGTGTGTGGCACGTAGCGTGGGCTGTTATGATCCTATGCTGTTAGACAACCCTGTTTATAGTTCACATTTATTCAGCGTCTTTTGCCATACCAGTCTCAGCTTCCTCCCCTGCTCCCCCGTTGCCAACAGTCTTTTAACGTTTTGCGGTATGAGTTGGGGCAGCATTACGACTCACACATGGACGTGTTTGATCCAAAGGAATATGGCCCGCAGTCAAGCAACCGAGTGAGTGGATCTTCAGTACCCTTTGTTTTTGTACCCGTTGCTCAGCTTCACTTTTCTTATCAAAATTTCTCGAGGTTTACTGTCTGGTTGTGATGTTCATTATTCTCCGTGTTGTGACTTTTGAGTCGACTCAAAAGTCACCTTGTGCGCACCTGTTTCTTCCCCGTTTCCCCTTCTGCACACATCGTGTCAGATGGCATCGTTTCTTCTGTACCTTACTGACGTGGAGGAGGGTGGTGAAACCATGTTTCCCTATGAGGTGTGTGCATGCGCTTATGCACCTGTGTGCGTCTCTTTGAGGATCAATGTCATGTTGTTTCCATTATTGACCGCAATGATATGTTCTTGCCACCTTGCTCTCCTTTCATCAACAGACAATTGTGTATGTTTTTGGACCACTTGTTTCAGGGTGGGCGCAACATGAATATCGGTTACAACTATAAGGACTGCATTGGGCTTAAAGTGAAGCCACGGATGGGAGATGCTTTGCTTTTTTGGTCCATCTACCCCAACGGCACCATTGATCCAGTAAGAGGGTGTCCAAAGTAGCACAGGTGGGATGTCACTGACGTTCAAAGTGGGTCACCACAACTGTACACGCTACTGTGCCAATTTCCAAAAGGTCCAAAGTAGGGCTCCCGAAACCCTGTAGTCGAAAGCCACGTCACACAGAGTTTTTTCAACAATCTGGCGGGTAGTCTTGAGATTTTTCCGGAGGGCGAGGACGACCCTCACCAAACCCCCAAAAACGAATTTGCGAAACACTTGCCGCTTGCCAAGAAAGCAGTTGTTGATCTGAATTTTGCCCACCACTGCTTACACATAGTGCCAAAATCTTTACAGTCGCTTCTTGGCGATGTGGTAACTTTCTGTATGCTTGTGGTTTTCGGTTTTGGCTTCCTCTGACCAAAAAAATCGACCTCATTTCAGTTTGGGCAGACTTTGAACATGTCCTATGTTGGGTTTCGCATCTGGTTTGACGTCCACATCTGAGGTCGAGCTTTGGGGACGAGTTGACGTCAGTTAAGCTTAGCTGGCGTCAACTCTACTTTGGCCACCCCTTAAGCCTCCATCTCTACTCATGTCGCCATGACGTCCTTACGCCCTGTTTGTATGCTCTCGTTTTTTCCCCATCCTGCTCGTGACTAATCGCCACGACGATGTTGCTCTGTTGCATTTTGTTTGCAGACTTCACTACATGGAAGCTGTCCAGTGGTCAAGGGTTCCAAGTGGGTGGCAACCAAATGGATTCGTGATAAGCCATTTTCCTCATGAATCAAATTAAACAAGCAGCTTTTTTGGGTTGCGGAGCAACCTATTGTAATCGATCGGATACCAGAAGAATGAATCTGGTACAGGCCCCACGATTGGTTTTAGTGTACCCTGATTGCCTAGTGTCACGTGTTGTGGCAATGTGCCTAGTATCCGAGCGTTCCAGGGTTCAATTATTGAAGTTAACGAATGAATTGAACCATGGCATACAAGCAGGGCCTAAGGCACCTTGATAGTTCAGGGTCCCCCCACCTTGGTCTCCAGATTTTTCAGGCCTCTCCAAAAGTAAATCCCTGATCAATCAGGGTCCCTGGAAATTTCACGCCGAGTAAACATGATTATACACAGAAAGCACGTTGAGTAATATATGCCTAGTAGTATTATGCGGTAGCAGGGTTCTCAACGGCAGCAGGCGCAGAGGGACCAAGGCTAGGATTGGGCTATGAAAGTACGACCGCGTCGGAAACAAAAAATGGACAGTCGCATTCAAGTCGGCGGGATTGACAGGGAGGTGGAGGAAACTCACGGAAATCACGGGTGGAGGGTTGGGGGGGCTACGAATCTAGACAAACAGGGATCACTACACTAGTAATGCTGACCGATCAGAGTTCACCCCTAAAAAAACGCTAACATTTTAGGCCCCTGTGTCTTAAAAAAAAAATCCAGTCTCATCAGGGTCACCCCCCAAAAAAGCCTTGATTTTACTTTGAATCAGGGTAAAAAGCCTGCAAAAAATCATATAACCTAGTGGATTGTACTCTCTAAGGCACAACCCTGTGTAGTCTATAATAAACATGTAAGGATATGTTTGAAACACCCCCTAGACTGGATAGGGGCAGTGCCTAGTGAGAGACAAGCAGCTCAGGGTGGCACTACTAGTCCAGCCTCTGAGGCAATCGTCTAAAGACCAGTCAAACGAGTACAAACAAGGCAAGAGCAAGACCAGGGCGGCACGGCGGCGCTGGTGAGGAGGGTAGCGCGGGGAACGACTCAGGGAGACCTAAGACAAGACCGTGCCGAGACATGTGACGAGGACGTGTGAGGGCAGGGTGACCTAGACGGTGGTGCCACAGAAGCGACGAGTGAGTAAGCGACCGGCACGAGCAGGCCGCAGCAACCAGGGTAGACGCAGACACCTGGAGAGACGTCCCACCCGGGGGGGACGCGGTGTCCAGCATGAACAGGCCAGACACCGGGTCTCGGGGGAACGTGGTGAGGGGAGCACCAGTGGCGACCTCGATACAGACAGCGTACCGCTCGTGCCCAGGGAACATAGTGGTGACGCCAAGGTCATCAAAGCAACCGACACCAACGAGGTTCCTAGAGAATGAGGGGATGTGCAGGCCTATAAGGGAGCCCGAAGGAACCGCCGGAAAGGGAAGGGAGGTTGAGCTACGGGCGACTACATGACCTGAGGAAGGGTCTGCAAGGGCAACTACGGCGGGAGCGGCAAGCGGCGTAAGCGTAGTGGAGTCCCGAAAAAAAACACCGGGAAGCGCCGGAGTCCAGAGTGAAGGAGAGCGCGGCAGTGGCGGAAGGGGTCGGAGGAGCGAGGGTGGAGCCAAGGCTAAACAAAGCAGGGGAACCTATGTCTGACGCAGCAGGGGAGTCAGAACTGGGCACACTAGGCAACACGGGGCAATAGGAACCAGTCACACTAGAGTCATCGACATACAGCACATACAAAACAGAGCTCATCTCATCCATGTCTATATCAAAGATCCTAACACTACGGCGGAGCAGACTGTGCCAGTCGGGGAGGTCTGGCGCCAGACCAAAGCGGAGACGAAATAGGTCGTGTAGGCGAATAAAAGTACGAGTGGGGGTATGGCCGTCTTACCGCACACGAGGCCGCGGCGAGGGCCGGTCTGGAGCTGGTACTGGCAGCGCCCGTCACTGGGACCACCACCCGACGTCACGCTACGCGCACGACCACTGCGACCACCTCCACTACCGGCGCCAGGCCACCCGGGCGGGAGATGACCGACCCGCCGCTGCTGCGGCTGCTACTGCGGCTGCTGCTGTGGCTGCTGCTGCTGCTGGTCTTGCTGTGGCGCCTGCTGCTGCTGCTGCTGCTTCGAGGCACCAGCCCCAGCCCCCTAGTCAGTACTAGTAGCGGGCGAACCGCCTCCACCACTGCCTCCTCCCCCTCCTCCGCTACCTCCGCCGCGCCCAACCTTGGGGCGGCGACCCTTACGCGGATGAAACTGCGATGCGGCAGTCGTAGCGACTGTCTCTGCAGCAGGGGCAGTGTCAGCGACAGCAGCAGAACCGTCAGAGTAAGAGCACTGAGCAAGGGTACAACCCTGAAAGATAGAGAACGGCACAGTACCACTAGACTGGGCGATAGAGCGCTGACGAGTCTCTATGGCAGACTGGGTGTTGACCAAGTCAGTGAGGGTGAGGTCAGCAGGGTGGAGACTAAGAACGTGATCGCAGGCAGTAGCAAGGCAGTCAGGGAGGCGGGTGGCAAGCAGGTAGAGGGTAGAGCAGATGGAGGGCTGAAACACACGAAGCTGGGCCTCAGTGCAGGTAGCGCGTCAGGTCACGTCTAGCGTGCTCAAGTGGGCAGCCAGGTCAGCGACAGTGGAGAAAGACGCGAGATCAGGAAAGAGCATGGGCAGGATCAAGCGACCGATGGAGATAGGGGGCGGGGTGGAATAGCGTGCGAGGGCAAGGGCAGCAGCGACAGCGGACTCACGGTCAGCAGACATGGGGTCACCGGGTAGAGCAGCATGGGGGTCAGGGCAGGGGAGCGTAACGTCGATGTGGACGGCCAGGGAGTGGCCGTCCTGTCGCTAACCAGTGAGGTGACGGCGGAGATCGACGAGCCACGTGTCAAACTCAACCAGCTGACCCTCCGTGTCAAAGCGCAGCACCAAGTCCGCCATCATGGTTGCTGTAACAGCATAAAGGCGGTAGTGGCGCTGTACTGAGCGACAGAGTGCGGAGGGAAGCAGTGGTGTACGGTGCGATGCGGTGCAGTGCGGTAGATTACGGTAGAGTGAGGTGCAGCACGGTAGGGTGTGGTGCAATGGAGTGCAGGGCGGTGGAGTGCGGTGGAAAGGGGTCGATCAAGCAGCTAGGAGACAGGGCCGCGTGGCGGCTGGAAGACGGGGCCGCGGGCGGCAAGGCGACGGGGCCGGCTAGGCGGCTAGGTGACGGGGCCGGTTGGGAGACGGGGCCGGCTGGGAGACGGGGCTGGCTGGGCAACAGGGCCGGCTGGGCGACGGGGCCGGCTGGGCGAAGAGGCCGGCAGGGCGATGGGGCCAGCTAGGCGACGGGGAATAGATAAAGAGGAGTACACAATCAATGCCCTAGAAAGTGAGAGTCTACACGAACCAGACCAAGCTGCAAGCAGTGCCGCTGATGATCTCTAGGCGCAAGCGCCTTAGTAAAGATATCAGATATGTTGGCACCTGAGGCCAAGTGTACTACGCGGGTCTGGCCACGCTGCAGTAGCTCGCACAGAATGAAGTACCGCTGCTGGATGTCCTTCGCTCTGCCCTCAAGTCGTGGCTCTAGATACAGGAGGATCATGGCCCTGTTGTCAGCATACAGAACTGGGGCAGAGCTAGGCTGCTCACCTATGTCGGCGAGTGAGAAGGTCAGTTAGCAGAGCTCCTGTGCCGCCATGGCACCGGCGTAGATATCAGCCTCACAACTAGACTGGGCAACAGACGAGGAGCGAGTGGACCTCTACGAGATGGCACTCAAACCAAGGCTAAATCAGTAGCCTTGGGAGGACCTAAGAGTCTCTGCATCGTCTGCCCAAGAAGCATCTGCGTGCCCAGTAAGGACCACTGGCCTGCGTCCTCCCAGCACTAGCCCCATGCCCGATGTACTCGCTAGATAACCCAAAACCCTCTTAGCGGCTAACCAGTGCTATGGTCAGTGTCTGCCTGTGGCCACAAAGCGAGCCAGGATGCTGAGAGGGTATGCGAGATCTGGACGAGTACAAGTCATCAGGTACATGAGGCAACCCACCAGCTCTGCGTAAGGACCACTGGGTTCTTCTGACTCTTCAGGAATTAGAGCTGAGAGCCTGTGGTATACTGGCAGAGGTGTGGGCTGTGCGGAGGAGAACTGAAGATCGAACCTCTGAAGGACCTGGCGCATCAAGTGTGACTGTGTGAGAGTGATGGTGCGCGCTGCTCTGTCCCTGGAGATCTGCAGGCCAAGGGAGCGGCACAGCTCTCCTAGGCCAGTGCTGGTGTGTCTCCTCAGCAGCTCGGCCTTCACGGAGGCCAGCACTTCTCTCCAGTAGCGAAGACCAGGTCGTCTACGTAGACGAGGATGTAGAACGAACGAACGAACAGCACGAACGAAGAGAGAGGGGTCTGCAGAGGACGGAAAGAACTGCAGGTCAGCTAACGTAGCACGCAGCGTGTTGTGCCTCTGACGGGGCGCCTGCCGCAGGTCGTAGACTAGGCGCCGGAGGAGCAACTAGGTCCCAGGAGGGAATGTACCGGTGAAGCCCTCTGGATGGCGCAGGTAGACCTGCTCGTTTAGGCTGCCCTGAATAAGAGCAGTAGAGAAGTCGAAGGAGTGGAGCTTGTAGTCACGCTGTGCTGCTTATTGTAGGAGCGCCCGAAGAGTAGTCATCTTCGGGGTCGGGGCGAAGGTCTGAAAGAAGTCCACCCCCTCTCGTTGACTGAAGCCTCTAGCCACGTAGCGCGCAACTACGACATCTAGAAAGTCCTTGGCGTTCGCGACGGCAGTGAAGCGCGGCTATGTGAGAGGGGCCGGCTAGGAGAGCGGGACCAGCTAGGCGCGAGGGGCCGGCTAGGCGCGGGGCCAGCTAGGCGCGGGGGGGCGGCTGGGCGTGGAGGTCGGCTAGGCGCAGGGGCCGGCTAGGCGCGGGGTCAGCTACGGGAGAGGGGCCGGCTAGGCGCGAGGGGCCAGCTAGGCTAGAGGGGGCCGGCTAGGCACGAGGGGCCGGCTAGGCACGAGAGGCCAGCACGGCGCGAGGGGCCGGCACAGCGAGCTACGGGCTGGCTGGGCGCGAGGGGCCGGCGGGGCGCTAAGGGGTCGGCTAGCATGCTAGGGGCAGCAAGGTGCGCTAGGGGCCGGCTAGCGTACTAGGGGCCGGTGGGGCGCGATAGGCTAGGGTACGACCGGGCGGTAGGCTAGGCGAGGGGCGAAAGCGGGTGGGCGGACCTAACCTACTATGATACCATGTTAGAATACG